CCCCGAGAAGGTTTCACATTCTTAAAAATGACCGTTGGTGCCCCCGAGAAAGTTTCACATTAAAAAAAAAAGACAGTTGGTGCTCCCGAGAAGGTTTCATCTTCTTTAAAAAAAAGACAGTTAAGGCCACGAGAAGGTTTTACATTCTTTAAAAAATGACAGCTGAGACCCTCGAGAAAGCTTCGTATTTTTAAAAATGATATTTGGAGCCCCCGAGGTTTCACATTCTTAAAAATGACCGTTGGTGCCCCCGAGAAGGTTTCACATAAAAAAAAAGATAGTTGGGGCCCCCGAGAAGGTCGCACCTTCTTTAAAAAAAAGATAGTTGAGACCTTCGAGATGGTTTCATATTTTTAAAAATGACATTTGGAGCCCCCGAGAAGGTTCCATATTCATAAAAAAACTGTTGGTGCCCCCGAGGAGGTTTCACCTTCTTTAAAAAAAAAGACAGTTGAGCCCCCGAGAAGATTTCACATAGTTAAAAAAAGACAGTTGGGGGCCCCGAGAAGGTTGTACCTTCTTTAAAAAAAAGATAGTTGAGGCCCCAAGAAGGTTTTACGTTCTTTAAAAAAATGACAGTTGAGACCTTCGAGATGGTTTCATATTCTTAAAAATGACAGTTGGAGCCCCCAAGAAGGTTTCATATTCATAAAAAAACTTTTGGTGCCCCCGAGAAGGTTTCACCTTCTTTAAAAAAAAGACAGTTGAGGCCCTCGAGAAGGCTTCGTATTCTTAAAAATGACAGTTGAAGCCCCCGAGAAGGTTTCACATTCTTAAAAATGACCGGTGGTGCCCCAGAAAAGGTTTCACATTAAAAAAAAGACAGTTGGGGCCCCCGAGAAGGTTGCACTTTCTTTAAAAAAAAAGACACTTGAGGCCCCAAGAAGGCTTTATATTCTTTAAAAAATGACAGTTGAGACCCTCGAGAAGGTTTCGTATTCTTAAAAATGACATTTGGAGCCCCCGAGAAGGTTTCATATTCTTAAAAAAAAACTGTTAGTGCCCCCGAGAAGGTTTCACATTCTTAAAAATGACCGTTGGTGCCCCCGAGAAGGTTTCACATTAAAAAAAAGACAGCTGGAGCCCCCGAGAAGGTTGCACCTTCTTTAAAAAAACGACAGTTGAGACCTTCAAGAAGGTTTCATATTCTTAAAAATGACATTTGGAGCCCCCGAGAAGGTTTCATATTCATAAAAAAACTTTTGGTGCCCCCGAGAAGGTTTCACATTTTTAAAAATGACCGTTGGTGCCCCTGAGAAGGTTTCACATTTAAAAAAAAAAGACAGTTGGGGCCCCCGAGAAGGTTGCACCTTCTTTAAAAAGAGACAGTTGTGGCCCCAAAAAGGTTTTACATTCTTTAAAAAAAATGACAGTTGAGATCTTCGAGAAGGTTTCATATTTTTAAAAATGACATTTGGAGCCCCCGAGAAGGTTTCATATTCACAAAAAAACTGTTGGTGCCCCCGAGAAGGTTCCACCTTCTTAAAAAAAAGACAGTTGAGGCCCCGAGAAGGTTTTACATTCTTTAAAAAGTGACAGTTGAGACACTCGAGAAGGCTTCGTATTCTTAAAAATGACATTTGGAGTCCCCGAGAAGGTTTCATATTCTTAAAAAAAAACTGTTGGTGCCCCCGAGAAGGTTTCACATTCATAAAAATGACTGTTGAAAAAGTTTCACATTAAAAAAAGACAGTTGGGGCCCCTGAGAAGGTTGCACCTTCTTTAAAAAAATGACAGTTGAGACCTCGAGAAGGTTTCATATTCTTTAAAATGACATTTGGAGCCCCCGAGAAGGTTTCATATTCATAAAAAAACTGTTGGTGGCCCCGAGAAGGTTCCACATTCTTAAAAATGACCGTTGGTGCCCCCGAGAAGGTTTCACATTAAAAAAAATAGTTGGGGCCCCCGAGAAGGTTTCACCTTTCTAAAAAAAAAAGACAGTTGAGTCCCCGAGAAGAATTCACATAGTTAAAAAAAGACACTTGGGGCCAGTGAGAAGTTTTCATCTTCCTAAAGAAAAAAAGACAGTTGAAGCCCCGAAAAGATTTCACATTCTTTAGAAAAAGACACTTGGAGCACCTGAGCAGGTTTCATCTTCTTAAAAAAGACAGATGGAGGCTCCGAGAAGGTTTCACTTTCTTAAAAAAAGACATTTGGGGTTGCTGATAATATTTCACCGTCAATAAAAAAAAAGACAATTGAGGCCCCGAAGATGTTTCACAATATTAAAAAAAATACACTTGAAGCCTCCGAGAAGTTTACACATTCTTAAAAAAAAAACAATTGAGGGCTCCGAAAAGATTTCACCTCGGTTAAAAAAAAGGCAGTTGGACCCCTGTGAAGATTTCACGTTTAAAAAAAAATAGTTAGGGCCCCCGACAAGGTTTTACCTTCTTAAAAAAAAGATACTTGGAGCTCCCATTTTCGATGGTAACGCTAACCAAAATTTGGATAAAACTCCCCACCAACAACATGATGACGTCATCTCCAAAATCTACATTAGTAAATATGATTTGAATTTTATAAAACAAGATACTCATTTACATCTGTATTCAGTTTTTAGCCTAGACATCCAGATTTTTTGAAAAAAAATTAAAATTTTGTATTAACATTTGGTAATTTAATTTTGAAGTTTCAAAACCGAATGCTCTAAAATCTTGCAAACGTTTTAAGGTTATTGTAAGCATGGTAAATCGTTTATTCCCTCTCAAAAAAGTGATGATTTGTTTTTACAGTTTTGTCGAATAAGTCTCCTTTAAATTATTTAGAATTATATATTCCTGCATAGTTTCTACACTATACACCCAAATTCTTGGAAAAAAAAATCAAAATTGTTTAGCAACTTTTTAGAAATTAACTTTGAAAATGCAAAACCGAAAGTTAAAATTAAAGAATCCGTGTTGAATTTTTAACCTTGCCGTCCAGATTTCTGGGAAAAAAATTAATATAACAAAATTTTAAGGTTATGGAAGCAATCGTTAATTAAAATTTGCCCATCATCTTACAATTTTGCCGAATTGCTGATTGTTGTAGTGCAGACAGACAGACAGACAGACGGAAACGGGACTCGATTACAATACTTACGCTCAGGAAATAAAAAACCTAGTAAATACACACACAAGAAATGTTTTTATGGCGAACTTGTATAAACTAGAGCAATGAACCGTCAAATTATCATAAATTCTAGATCACCGAATTCAAAGAAATTCTAGAACATTTGAAAACCGAAAGTGATATAAAAGAAAGTTCAACCAGGGTAACGTAGAACCGCAATAAGTAAGATAAAAAACCATATATATGAAGCGAAAAATTAGAAAAGAAAATATTCATATGCAATAGATGATTGATAATTTTTGTCCTTTCTTACACTTTATCATGTTTCGAAAATTCTTTATCATAGATTGTGTAAATTCATCTTACCACGCGACTAACGAATGTTGCGTTATTTATTATTTTTTTTTAGGAATAATTATCTTCAACAATTAATCACTTGTCTTACAATTAGTCATAATAACATGATTACAAATACTACGAATTTTGTCGAAATTGATATTCAAATGTTTCATAAGGCGTACGATAAAAATGAGACTTTGTCCTTTTTCGGAGACCCGGGATTCCATAAAAAGATCTTACAATCTACATTATCGCAATCTTTAGACTCTCCAGTCTAGAAAAGAAAAAAACAGCAACATAATCCTGTTCGTATTGAGATATTGCATGAGAGTAAACAAAACAGTAATCATGTTTGCTTGATAAAAATTAAAATTCGTCGAACTTATTTATCCTGTGGCTATAAACAAACAAACAACTTCGTACACACCAAGGTAACTTAAAACCGATTTTCGGAAAGCCAAATTTACGTGGACCCTTCCACGATTGGTCACTATAAGCCACGCCCAACCCTCAGACGTCATTCCCGTCTTGCTCACCGCCGCTGTACCTCTATTTACTCATTATTCTCATTTTCACACACACAAAAACCTATCTTCGTCATCCTTATTTTTATAAACCCACAATTACGTTTTTACAAGCGAAGCATTACTTTAAATTTCAAGAAAATTACACAGGAGAAAAAACGTAATGAGAACTCTAAAGATCATAACAACTCACTCCCCTCGGTTACAGGAAGGCACGGGTTGTGCCCACGTTGCGTACATTGGGATCTAAATTTAGAATTCTCAATAATTACTATTACGAATTGTGGTTTTGATCTCAATTGATTACGTTTTGTTACAGACACTTTCAAGGTTGTTTCATGTAAAAAATACCGGAAAATAAAATGAAGCGAGAATGGATATATGAAAGCAGATCAACATTTTGTTATATGGTGCGGTCGTGCGGTAAGCGAACCGGTTCGACAAGGACGTCCAGATTCTCGTAAAATGGTAGAATAAATAATTGGTTTATGTAAATGGAATAAGACGAAAAGGAGCAAAAGTAGGCCACCAGCAATAGTGATAGTTGGGCAAACTGAAAGCATGCAACCCAAAATACACAGATGCTTCCGGGAAATAAATTAAACTTGATCTAAACTTGGGTTGAGTGTTCGTAAATAGATAAACTGATGAATGAAATGGATTGACAACCGAATGTGGAGGTTGTGTGCTGATTTTTGCTTTCCGTATAATACAATTTTAACCTCTATGTTTCCTGTGATAAGGGTCATGGATTAAAATTCGTGACAATAAACTGGATGTCTGATAGCTATTTTTGTGACCAAAACGTAGATCATTAAATTCAACATTTAACAAAGAGTTGATTTTTTGCTAATCTGATAAACATCCTGCATAGTGAAACGTAATGAGTCAATGGTTCTCCGTCTTGTCGTAGAGAAGTCATAGGAAAAACCACGCCAACAATAAAAGAGTGACATAATTTATAAAATTTGCTGGCTGGCTTCTGAAATTTAATTACGTTAGCATGTTTACACAAATATTCAAAAAAGTATCGTTCAAAGAAAAACCTAAAAATACCCCTCACAAACAAACAATCAAAAATCACGAATGCATAATTAAATCTTCATGTGTTGGCGTATTTATCAAGCTAAAGTTCAACAGGTCACAACCCCTCCAATAACGCAAACTCTGAAAAAGTGTTTCAGTCTTGCGCGTCTTCGCCACCCTGCAAGTCGCCCTCAAACCTCCACCATCCTGAAACTCGTCTGAACGTATCCACCACTCTCAAAACACCAAAAACTCCCCCAAAGTGTTAATTTCGCCCAAAATGAGTGATTTTTCTCAAATTTCGTGATTATGTGCTACGATACAAACACACGAACTTCAACCGCGCTGGCGCCACAAAATCGATCACCCCCATCACGTTCAAAATGAGCACGAAAATGTCATCACGTCCTCGTAAACACAAGCACAAAGACGACATGAAACAAGAAACGGTAGCTCAAGTCCACAAAACCGTCAAATCCGACACGAGTTCGGACGAAAAAAACAAAAAAAACGAGGACAAGAATGACAATTATAGCACGAATACACCAAGTCGGGACGTCTCCGTGGACGAAGAGTCCCAAATCAACTCGAAGATCCTGTCGCTGATTGAAAGCGAAATGAAACGAGATGCCAACAAACACTCGCATTTTACGGACTCGAGGCCGCAGAGCTTGAGCTTCTACGAAGACGAGAAAATCCCGGAGGAGCTTTCAGGTAACTTGGAGCTGCTGAGTCCCGAGGAACGGAAGCACTACAAGAGGCGCCGGGAGCTGGACACCGACGAGATGAACGCCTACAACGTCATCCAGGATTTGTACGGGAGCAGAGACGGGGACGAAATCATATCGTCCACGAAAAAGTCAAAATCGAGGAAAAAACGACACGGAGATACGGAAATCGGGATTGGTGACAGCAGGGAAATGATGATACCGAAGGAGAAGAAGAAGAGCAAAAAGAAGAAGAGGGAGTCGTCGCCGGGGACGGGCAAACGCAAGCACAAGAAGAGGGACGAGGAGTTCGAGCCGAGGAATGACATTACGGTTGCACTGGAAGAATTGCAAGACGACGTGTTCGAAAATAACGAGGAGTTCAATAAGGTTGAAAAGGTGAAGAAGAGTCCGAAGAAGTCGGAGAAGGTCTATGTACAAAAGAAGAACAAATTTGAAGCTGTGAGTCGACCGAATAATTTAAATAGACAGAGTGCGTACGACTTTGAGGAGGATCTTCCAGGGAAAAAGTAAGATTTGGGGTTGGAAGTGGTGTGCACTTGTTTTTTGGTAGTTTTCAGACATATCACCCTTTGGAGCTTGCAGTGTCGTTCCAGAAGTACTGGATGCGGCTGACGACGCTCTGTCATGGTTTGCTGGGTGGTTTGGCCTTTGGACACTGGTTGTACATCATCAGCAATATCTACGTTCAGGATGGCGAATTTATATCACACTATTCTCATTTTAGTGACACTTACGTGTCCTTTTTTTACTTCCTGTGCGTCATTTGTCTCATATCCGTGTTTGAAAAGTACGGTGACCACTTTCAGCTACCAATCGATTCAAACGTGTTATTTTTAGGATTGATATTGCTCATTTTGAGAGATCTCAATTTAGGAGTTTATTCCATTTTAGGAAAAGTTCTATAGTGATAGTAGTGTACTTCACCTGTCTGGTTGTGCATTTATCAGCTGCCCGAATTGACTATAAGTTAGGATTAGTATCGTACAACAACGAGACCATATCAAATGTTCGTATTTTTACAGATGTTTAAACAAACGTTATTTTATTGGTTTTTAGATAACGAGAAGTGAGCTTACACAGTGGAACCATTTATCTTTGTGGCGGTCGGTGTTGGCTTTTTTAGCTTGGATTATTGTCGGGTTGTCGCCTCAAGACAACATGTTCTATGATAACTTGAGGAGTATGGAGAACTATCTTCCGCATAAATGATATTTAAATGTTTTTTTCTCTTCAGTCTATGATGTGATAACAAATAAATAAAGAAGACTGTAATATTTATTGACTAGTTAATAAAGAGGAATAACAATTTGTGTTAATAATTTATGGATTAATAACTACGACGACACTGACAACGATATTATACACAAAATACATAAATATTTTAAAGCGTTACAAAAGTTCCAAGGCCTCTTTGAGGAGGATAATTTTCATACATACACGTCTATCTGTAAAAGATTCAAGTAGTTAAGCGAAAAGGTCAACTTTGTACGTGGGAGCTTTTCATCAAATTTTATTTGATGCCACATTATGTCAGTGACAATATCAAAATTATATGGTTCTATACGCAATTATTATTTTTAGCACCACTTTCATGAATTTTTATTACGATATAAAACTACAACAACAAAATATATAGGTTGTAAATAATTCCCAACGGAAGTCCATTAAAATACATATACCCAAGTTAATTGGCTTTCAAATGTACAAACATAGCGCGCCTTGGAAAGACAAGCTGTCGCTACACCATATGGAAAAACATAATTTACAATAAAGCAATATTTCTTGCACAAACATTAATAAATTATTAATATGTAGGTAACTGTTCCTTCTAATTAAGCTGACAACTAACAAGGTATCTAAAAAAGAGAATGAAATCACGTAAGTAGTTAAACTTGACAAGATGTGTCGAAATTCCATTTCTGTAGAGAAAAATCGATTGCAATAAGTGCAAAAAGTGTGTGTTTATTACACGTCAGATTTTTTTATTGAATACTTAACCTGAAAATAGCCACCTGCCACTGTTGAAACGCATTGTTGATCTGTCACGTCACGATTTCAACAGGTAGGAAAGAGTTTATTTTTCTCACGTCAAACTAGTGCGAAAAATTGTTGCTTATACAAAAAGTGACTTCTACCAAATCTTGAGTGGAATTTGACGAATATTTAAACTTACCTAAATCGCTCAGTGTCCATCTGTTACAATATTTTTTAATTCTTATGCTTAAATTACTCAGTGGTGTGTTAATAATACTGTAGATGAAACAAAACCCGATCAGACTATTACCGAGATTATACTGTAAGTGCCTGGAATATGAAAATTTAACACTAAACAGCGTGTCCACAAAATACGGAATATTTATCGGAACTAACTTTGACATCTCAATGGAATTAGTTCCATATTTAGCCGACACCTGTATGCGGCATCACACATTTAAATAAGTAATTATCGGTATTATCACAGAACATTGGAAACACATAACACAAATCTAAATAAGCTTCACAGAAACGCTGCCCTGTCAAGATGATTATCTTCAACAAGGTCCAAATTTTTCAACTTGAAGTATAGCTTACAAGCTAGAATAATCCCAATTATCTGTAAAACACAAATCCCTAAACCCACCGCACTTAGAATAAATAAATGGTCTTCCATGTGTATGGCCATGCGGTGGAGGCACCCCTTAAAAATAATTGCTTTAATTTTTAACTAAATTAGTTAAATTAAACCTTACTCCGTAATTAATATTGGAGGGATGGTCGCTGGTGCCGCACCTATCTGACACTGTTTTACAGCAGGAATCAGGTACTTTATTGTCGGTGACTTCGTCCTGGAGCCACTGGCTGTACTTCCAGTCTGTGAAACTGACAGCGCCGCAACAATGAAACTACAACACATATTAACAATCAAAATAAAATTTTAAAAAACACAAATGTGTACGTTTTCTTGTAAAAAATCCACCGCAGCGGTTTTGTCGTCGTCGACTTTGTAGTAGGTCAGAAAAGTGTGATTTAGGTTCATTTCCAGTTCGGTCTGGACGTTTTCCTCGTAAATGTACGCCAGAATTCCAACCATGGCTTCAATTAGGAAAATGAGGACGAGTAGAAAGATATACTGCAAAAAATGAATAAGTATGGCACGCGATGTCAAGGTCGGTTGGCGTACGAATACTAATAAGATTCGGTTTTCTTTAAGGACTGCGTAGCAGCCCATGAACGCTACCAGGATGACTAGGCCTCCTGCGGATAGCAGGAAATACACGATGATGGGGTACGTTAGCGACGCCAGGAGCGTCACGTACTGGTATCGGTCTATCATCGTCCATATTGCGACACCAAGGACGCCTAATCCTGCCAACTGAAACAGAATTTATTAGGACTACTGTTACATTCGAAGGGGAAAGGTTGAAGCTAACCTAATGAGAACGAGTGGGGGTGGGATTTATTGATATGAAATGGTGGAAGCGTGATTTTAAACTGGGTAAACAGTGAAGTTGACTAGTTCAGTCGGAAATTCCGTGGACGTGGGCCATGATCCGCTTTATAAGTTTTTCAAGGCCTGTGCAGATTGACTCATTTTTAACCAGTTGTTATACATCTGGTGAATTCATGTTAACAGAACGGAAAAAATTAAGTACGATTTATTTTAATTAATGTCACTGGTTACAAGTAAAGCATAATCAAAGAGGTTTGCTTTCTTATCGTTATCTCATTAATAAACGTGTCAGTTGATTGTTATATGATGTGCCATAAATATGTAATTAATGCCCCCAAAAAATTAAAAATGAGCGTAATACAGAAATGAAAGTAATTGTGTATATCTTATCTACAGTAACAGCTTTAAATTTAGTACACTTTGGATATTAGTGTGGCTATCGCGGCTCACCAAAGTTTATATATTTTTTGCTAATAACGCCACATGCTGATGTTTTTATTACTTCTGCTGAAGTGATTCATTTTTGGTTACTCAAAACATAAGAATGCTTTCAGTTTCAACGGTTTAAATGGGTTTTTACCATCCTACAGCGTGAATCAATATGGTAATGTTCCGTTACACTAATGTCTGGTGTCGTTATACCATTTTGTTCTACTTTTATAAAACGTTGAAATTTTGACACACTATCTTTCCAAAAAAAAACAATTAATTGTTTTTGTTGATTTACTATCTAAATTTTGAACTTTTTGGTACAATTTTTGACCGGTTTCAGCACTGTCAAGTCGGTAATGTTTGAAATGCTTAACTAGAGTTGTAAATTTATAAAGCAAACAGAAAACACCTCAACCCAAATTGAGAAATTTCTAAGTATTACAGGTACGTGCAGTTTTGTTCAATATTTGCGTTAGAACCTTGTGGTTATCGCTTTTCATTTTATTTTAATACAAAAAATTTTTACATATTCTAAATTTAAGTTTATTTTGAAATAAATTCTGCAGATCTGTGGTATGTTCCTTTATTTTCTAGTAGAAATAAACACATTAATCTTAAATTTAAACGTTTGCCAATAACCTAATCACATGACGTGCCGAACATTTTGGCTAACTGAAATGTTTACACAGTACTGAGTGGACTTCTCTGAAGTGTGTTGTAGAAAAGAGGAAGAATTTTGTATCTACCTTAAAAACTTCTAATTTTATTTATTTTTGTCAAGTTGGCCAACACAAAAATTTGTTTCAATCATTAAGAGTCACCCGGTATTTTTTTAGAGCGAAAACTAATGAAATGATTGATCTTTAAAATAGAACGTGCTGGTAATTCAGTTTGCTCTGATCTTTATATTCCCCTACTCCTGTTTCTGTTCGCTCCTTGGCCAATCGATATGCGCCTCATTATTGGTAGGAATTCCGTAACATTCCTTCAGGTTTTGTTTTCCATCAAAACACTGCGTTATAAAAATCATTATCTTTAATATTACAGCAAGTGAGGTCGAAAAAAGCTAAAACCGTCTATTTTCCTATTTTTTTAATATCTACTGGGATGTACTAAATTATGAAATTTAAATTTCCCGCCGAAGAAAAATTTTTCAATAACGTAGGCAGCCATGTGTAGGGATAAACAATTTTGGAAGAGTGAGCAGGTAGTTTTTGAAAAGGGTTCTTACAATTCTTGTGTAGTGCTACTTGAAACAGGTGCTATTTTATTTATGAATTTACCTAAGGGCAATTGTTTAAACGAAATGAATCGCATTCGAGGCAACAGTCCTCCTTCAACGAGTGTAACTAGTGTAATATCCATTCATTAATTATCCGCTAGTAATGTGTTATTTTCTTACATCCGAGTTATTTTCATACATCTTGAATTTGAACATTTATTCTTGAAGTAATCCTTTAATTTTGACAATATTTAATAAATATGTGCCTTTTTCTGTATATTTCACATGTGATTCGGGATTTGTTGAGTCCATGAGTTTGTCTTTTTTAAGTGCAAACTTCATGGGGAGACTCACGTCCGCGTGAAACGTACAGTTTGGTTAAATAACTAGCTGCTTTGGGAAGACGGGGTAGAGAGTATAATACGCGGCAGGTTTTTTGGGTATAGAGATGTGGTGTCGTGTTACAGCTGTCAATCGAGTAAAATCATCCAAGAAAGGTGACAGACTAGGACCAGGGAGTTGAATTTTTCGCGGATTTTAAAATTTTGATCTCAGGTTTCAATTTTACCACACTACTCTTTAAAATATCCTTGTTTATCGTTTACTGACCACCAAGTCCATTGAGAGTCCATAACTTATGATCTTGCGGATTAGGGGCTTGGGTTATTCAACTTTGCGTTGTAAAATTTTATCACTATGCAGAAATAGTGTGCTTGTTTACTTAATATTTGTTGCCCTCGTGTGATACCTGTGTGGTAGTGGCCCCTAATGTAAACAAGTATATATGGTATATGTATAAACAAGTTTATGATAAAATATTTAAATCATCAAAAAATATCACCTGATAAGTCTCTATACATGGAGTGTTTCATTTCTTAGCCCCCCTATAAGTTCTTTCTTCTTTCAAATTTTGATTAAAAAGGCTAAGAGGCTTGATTTAAGTAGGATTTATAAATTTGCTGCCGACGTTGAAGTTCCCGTTGCAGTTGCTGTTCCCGCTGAGCTTGCTTTTCAACTTTTGCCGTATTTAAAGGGGCGAAATAAGTCTACACATATTAGGAAAAAAAGGCAAAATGTAGCCCCGCCCACCCGCCCTTTCTCAATTGTGATGATTTTTTTTATTCGTCGTGAGTCAACAAGGCGGAGCTTAACTGCAAAATCCTTATTTCTATCCATTTTAAACATGTTTTAAGTTTCATGTTGTGAAAAGAAGTCTACACATATAAAAACAAAAAGGCAAAATGTCAGCACGCCCACCCGCCCTATCTCAATTGTGATGATTTTTTTATTCGCCGTTAACCAATGGGGTGGAGCTTAACTGGAAAATCCATATTTCTTAACAAAAATTTACCACTTTCAACGTGTTTCAAGTTTCTAAGAAAAAAAAAATCACAATTGAGATGCGGTGAGTGGGCGGGTTGGCATTTTGCCTTTTTGTTTTAATGCGTGTAGACTTCTTTTCGAAACATGAAACTTTAAACATGTTTAAAATGGAAAATTTGTATAATCTATATAATCTATATTTCCTTGCAAAAATGTACCAATTTAACCATGTTCTAAGGCTCTTGTTGTGAAAAATTGGCTATATATATTAAGAAAAAAAAAGGCAAAATATAAGCCCCACCCACCCGCCCTATCTCAATTGTGATGATTTTTTTTAATTCTCGAGAGCCAAAGGAGCGGAATTTAATTGCAAAATCCTTATCATTTCTGTACAAGAAATTACCATGTGAGACATCTTTTTGAGTATAGTGTTATTCACAGAATACTATGTATATTAAGAAAAAATTAACGCCAAGAATTAAGCTCCACCCATATCTGGCCTGGCCTAAATAGTAATGAAGCTTTCATTCGTTGGCACACTTAGAGGCGGAGACTAATTGCCAAACCCATATTTCCTTACAAAAATTTACCATTTTAAACGTGTTTTAAGTTTATAATAATTAAAAAAATCATCACAATTGAGATGGGGTGGGTGGGCGGGGTTTTATATTTTGCCTTTTGTCTTAATATATATAATATTCTTTGAACAACACGATACTCAAAACATGTTTTTAGTTTATTGTAACGAAATAAGTATTTTGCAGTTAAGCTCCGCCCCTTTGGTTCACGCTGAATAAAAAAAATCATCACAATTGAGATAGGGCGGGTGGGCGGGCTGACATTTTGCCTTTTTGTTTTAATATATGTAGACTTCTTTTCGCAACATGAAACTTTAAACATGTTTAAAATGGAAAATTTGTATAATCTATATAATCTATATTTCCTTGCAAAAATGTACCAATTTAACCATATTCTAAGGCACTTGTTGTGAAAAAATGGCTATGTATATTAAGAAACAAAAAGACAAAATATAAGCCCCGCCCACCCACCCTATCTCAATTGTGATGATTTTTTTAATCGTCGAGAGTCAAAAGAGCGGAATTTAATTGCAAAATCTTTATCATTTCTGTACAAGAAATTACCATGTGAGACATCTTTTTGAGTATAGTGTTATTCACAGAATACTATGTATATTAAGAAAAAATTAACGCCAAGAATTAAGCTCCACCCATACCTGGCCTGGCCTAAATAGTAATGAAGCTTTCATTCGTTGGCACACTTAGAGGCGGAGACTAATTGCCAAACCCATATTTCCTTACAAAAATTTACCATTTTAAACGTGTTTTACGTTTCTAAGAATTAAAAAAACCATCACAATTGAGATGGGGTGGGTGGGCGGGGTTTTATATTTTGTCTTTTGTCTTAATACATATAATACTGTTTGAACAACACGATACTCAAAACATGTTTTTAGTTTATTGTAACGAAATAAGTATTTTGCAGTTAAGCTCCGCTCCTTTGGTTCACGCTGAATAAAAAAAAATCATCACAATTGAGATAGGGGGGGTGGGCGGGCTGGCATTTTGCCTTTTTGTTTTAATACGTATAGACGTCTTTTCACAACATGAAAGTTAAAACATGTTTAAAATGGAAAATTTGTATAAGGTAATATCGATTTTGCAATTAGGCTCCGCTCCATAATTGCAAAATCCGTTTTTCCTTGCAAAAATGTACCATTTTAACCATGTTTTAAGTTTCTTGTTATGAAAAGGTGGCTGTGTATATTAACGAAAACAGGAAAAATGTAAGCCCCGCCCACCCGCCCTATCTCAATCGTGATGAATTTTTCATTCCCTATACAAATTTACCATTTTAAACATATTTTAAGTTTCTTGTTGTGAAAAGATGGCTACACATATTAAGAAAAAAGACAAAATGTAGCCCCGCCCGCCCGCCCTTTCTAAATTGTGATGATTTTTTTTATTCGTCGGGAGTCAACAAGGCGGAGTTTAACTGCAAAATCCTTATTTCTCTCGTAAAAACATGTTTACTTCCTCATACAAATTTTCCATTTTAAACATGTTTTAAGTTTCATGTTGTGAAAAGAAGTCTACACATATAAAAACAAAAAAGCTAAATGTCAGCCCGCCCACCCGCCCTATCTCAATTGTGATGATTTTTTTATTCGCCGTTAACCAAGGGGGTGGAGTCTAACTGGAAAATCCATATTTCTTAACAAAAATTTACCACTTTCAACGTGTTTCAAGTTTCTAAGAATAAAAAAATAATCACAATTGAGATGGGTGGGTGGGCGGGCTTTATATTTTGTTTTTTTTTAATATACATAGCATTCTTTGAACGACACGATACTCAAAAATATGTTTTTAATTTCTTGTAAAGAAATAAGTATTTGGTAGTTAAGCTCCGCCCCTTGGGTTCACGGCGAATAAAAAAAATCCTACCAAATGATATAGGGCGGGTGGGCGGGCTGGCATTTTGCCTTTTTGTTTTAATATAGGTAGACTTCTTTTCGCAACATGAAACTTTAAACATGTTTTAAATGGAAAATTTGTATAAGGAAATATCGATTTTGTAATCAGGCTCCGCCCCATAATTGCAAAATCTATATTTCCTTGCAAAAATGTACCAATTTAACCATGTTCTAAGGTTCTTGTTGTGAAAAAAAAGCCCCGCCCACCCGCCCTCTCTCAATTGTGATGATTTTTTTTAATCGTCGAGAGCCAAAGGAGCGGAATTTAATTGCAAAATCCTTATTATTTCTGTACAAGAAATTACCATGTGAGACATCCTTATGAGTATAGTGTTATTCAAAGAATACTATGTATATTAAGAAAATATTAAAGCCAAGAATTAAGCTCCACCCATACCTGGCCTGGCCTAAATAGTAATGAAGCTTTTATTCGTTGGCACACTTAGAGGCGGAGACTAATTGCCAAACCTATATTTCCTTACAAAAATTTACCATTTTAAACGTGTTTTAAGCTTCTAAGAATGAAAAAAAATCATCGCAGTTGAGATGGGGTGGGTGGGCGGGGTTTATATTTTGCCTTTTTTCTTAATATACATAATATTCTTTCAACAATATGTTTTTAATTTCTTGTAAACAAATAAGTAGGTATTTTGTAGTTAAGTTCCGCCCCCTTAGTTCACGGCGAATAAAAAAAATCATACCAATTGAGATCGGGTGGGCGGGTGGGGCATGGGGCTTATACTTTGCCTTTTTTTCTTAATATATGTAGTCTTCTTTTCACAACAAAAAACTTAAAACGTATTTAAAACAAGAAATAATGTGGTTTTTGCAGTTACGCTCCGCCCCTCGGTTTGACAACGAGTGAGAAATTGGTCACGATTAAGATCCAGACGGATAGGCGGGGCTTATCTTTTAGCTTTTTTGCTTAATACATATAGTTTTCTTGGAGCAATACGATCACATGGTAATAAGGAAAAAAAGGCAAAATATAAACTCCGCCCACCCGCCATATCTCAATTGTGATGTTTTTTTTTAATCGTCGAGAGCCAACGAAAAGAAATTTAATTGCAAAATCCTGACTATTTCTCGACAAGAAATTACCATGCAAGACATGTTTTTGAGTATAGTGTTATTCAAAGAATGCTATGTATATTAAGAAAAAATTAAAGCCAAATATTAAGCTCCACCCATACCTACCCTGATCTAAACAGTAATGAAGTTTTCATTCGTTGGCAGACCTGAGGGCGGAGCCTTATTGCAAAATCCATATTTCTTAACAAAAATTTACCGTTTTCAACGTGTTTCAAGTTTCTAAGAATAAAAAAACAATCACAATTGAGATGGGGTGGTTGGGCGGGGTTTTATATTTTGTCTTTTTTTTTTAATATGTGTAGATTTCTTTTCGCAACATTAAACTTAAAACATGTTTAAAATGGACATTTTGTATAAGGAAATATCGATTTTGTAATCAGGCTCCGCACCATAATTGCAAAATCTATATTTCCTTGCAAAAAAGTACCAATTTAACCATTTTCTAAGTTTCTTCTTGTAAAAAATGGCTATGTATATTAAGAAAAAAATTGGCAAAATATAATTAATCCTTATTATTTCTCTACACGAAATTACCATGTAAGACATGTTGTTGAGTACAGTATTATTCAAAGAATACTATGTATATTAAGAAAAAATTGAAGCCAAATATTAAGCTCCACCCATTCCTCCCCTGACCTAAATAGCAATGAAGCTTTCATTCGTTGGCACACCTAGAGGCGGAGACTAATTGCCAAACCCATATTTCCTTACAAAAATTTACCATTTTAAACGTGTTTTAAGCTTCTAAGAATGAAATAATCATCGCAGTTGAGATGGGGTGGGTGGGCGGGGTTTATATTTTGCGTTTTTTCTTAATATACATAATATTCTTTCAACAATATGTTTTTAATTTCTTGTAAACAAATAAGTATTTTGCAGTTAAGCCACGCCCTCTTGGTTCACGGCGAATAAAAAAATCATCACAATTGGGATTGGGCGGGTGGGCGGGCTGACATTTTGCTTTTTTGTTTTAATATGTGTAGGCCTCTTTTCACAACATGAAACTTAAAACATGTTTAAAATGGAAAATTTGTATAAGGTAATATCAATTTTGTAATTAGGCTCCGCCCCATAATTCCAAAATCCAGTTTCCCTTGCAAACATGTGTCATTTTAATCATGTTTTAAGTTGTTGTGAAAAGGTGGCTGTGTATATTAACAAAAAGAGGCAAAATATAAGCCTCGCCCACCAGCCCTATCTCAATTGTAAAGGGAAGCTCCACCCATCCGTGTCGATCTCAATCGTGATGAATTTTTCATTCCCTATGCAAATTTACCATTTAAAACATATTTTAAGTTTCTTGTTATGAAAAGATGACTACACATATTAAGAAAAAAAATACAAAATGGAGCCCCGCCTACCTACCCTATCTCATTGGTGATGATTTTGTTAATTCATGGTGAGCCAAAGGGGCGGAGCTTAATTGCAAAATCCTTATTTCTTTACAGGAAATAAAAACATGTTTTTGAGTATCGTGTTGCCTAAAGAATACAATGTATATTAAGCAAAAAACAAGCCAAAAATTAAGCCCCACCCATATCCATCCTAACTTCAATTGTGATGAATTTTTCATTCGTTGTGAGACCGAGGGGCGGCGCCTAATTCCAAAATCGATATTTCCTTATACAAATTTCCCATTCTAAAACATGTTTTACGTCAATGTCAACGGTAAACAGCAACGTCGGCGACAAGTTTATAAATCGAATTTAAAATTTTTGCCGTTGCTTTACAAAACCTTACTTTTCTTGTTGCTTTAACATATAGTTGTAAAAATTTGTTAAACAAAAACTGAAACTGTGTTTTTCCGGATTCTGTGTTGCGTATTGACATTTGGCGTCCCGACATCAGTAAATACCTTCCGATAATAGAACCCAAGTACAATAAAAGTAACCATACAACAAAGATAACGTTCCCCGACAATGTAATACCCACGGCGGCTTGTAAAGGTATAATTTGGTGGTATTTGCGTGCCGTCTGTGGGTGGACTCATTATATCATAACAACGACATCAATGGACTCTCATAACTCAAGACGAAACCCCGACAAAGCGGCTGTTCTTCTTGACCACGACCCGTGGGACCCTCGCCACATTGCGCATTATTATATAACTCATTCCCAAAGTCGCATCGTCATTAACATGCAGCAGCCTATTTACAAATAAGGAGTTAATGTGGGCGTGACGCAAATAAAAAAGAACGCTTTATTTAACAAGTTGAACGACCATTATCAGACTCACCAGGAAGAATATGTTGAAAACGTTGAGAATGTTTTTGATAAAGTTCACGCCGCAGCACTCTTTACTGCCCATTTTTACCGGTAGGTGATGGTCTTCATACTAGATCCCTTTCGGTCCGGGTCTGAAAAAAAGGTTTTGGCTATTTTTATACAGTTCGCCAATGGCTGAATCATAAACTTTATGGTTAATTTGTCCGCATATTTGAAGTTCTGCCAGATTTACGACCGGGATTCATCAAGCGATGAATGAAGAATGTGACACGGTGGAGCTGTGTCAATTTCTAGTGCCCGATATGGGCAAAGCCAGTTGTTCTTATTGATGATTCCAGCAGCGTCCGCTCGTCTTGTGCTCGATTAAGGTCAGGATTTCCACTCGATAATTTTCTAGAAGCGATGCTTGATTTTATTGACAGACGGGAGGTTAATGCTCACCCGAGTCGACATCATTATTTTAATTTATGAATAGACAAGGGCTTCGGGAGGAGCTCACGACGTTGTAAATTACGAACACGGTCTAGGAGCGAGTATGACAGATGAGAGTGAATAATATGTACCGGACTTTCGAAACGCGTGACCACAAATGCTCAGTCGACAGCACTAACTATTTATCAATTCTAGAGGTACTTAAACTTAAAGGGTTGAAAAAAAGCCGCTTCGTGTATAAGCACATTTACTTCTTACTCCTTACTTAACAAAATATAGAAATATACAGTTCATTTCACATCATATACAAAATATGCAGATTTGTTTAAATAAAATTAATGTAAAGTTGGAATTTTCATATACACAGCGCATATTGTAAACAATAGTGGTAAATAAAATTTCATAATTAAAAAAAGTAAATCACAATTATTTTGGCTTGGAAATAAACATGATAAAGTCTTCCAACAAAGGCAAGAACCAACTACTCAAATCTCCTCAAGGTGTCCTCTAACCTACTCACTATGTTCTGATAATAATTGACTTGTTCTTGCAAGAAGCTCTTCATCGCCGACTTAAACTCGGTATTCATCTCGTTCTGGAAGTGATCGAGCTCCGCAAACACGGAGTAAGTCAACACGTCCGTCCTTTTCCGCACCTCGGTGATTTGGACGAGAGGTATCTGCGAGTTCCTCTCGCACTCCTTCTTCTTTTGTTCCGCGTGCTTTTGCATAGAGAAAATATCGGGGTAGGAACTGGTGATCCCTCTGTAGAGGTAGAGCTTGTCGGTCAGGGGTTGCCAGTCGATTTTGGCTTGGTCTTCGCACAGTTTGGCGATCTCGATATACGTTGTGCCGATTTTTTTTATGTCTGGAACAAAGGGGTTATGATGCGTCCGAAAGGGCTGCCAAGGACGTTGTATTAGGAGGATGGAGGGTCGTTTCGAATGAGTGATCCCGCCGGCTGAGGTCATAAACGGTAAATAAAGGGGAAACTGGGGCGTGTTTTAAGAAAAATGGCAAGTAGTATAGTCCGAGAAATCTAAGACGGTTAGATTTGTATACATTAATTTCCGCATTCGTGCCGACCAATCACAACAAAGCACATCGGCGCCAAATTCAAACTGATGCAAATACCAATTTTATTACTTTCATTGTGTCATTTTTTTTTATTCGCACCGATTTTTCAACTTTTTACTTTTTCAATTCTTAGATACTTTAATTTTTTCAATTTGTCAGTTTCTTAACTTTTAATTGTTCATATTTTCGCTTTTTTGTTTCATCGATTTTTCAATCAGGAAAAATAATCTAAAATTTCAGTATGTACTTTGAATTAATCTGTTTTTGACTTTAGATGAAAAACTGAAAATTAAAAAATTGCGATTTTAAAAAATGAAAAAAGTAAAATCGAAAAATTGCGAAATAAAAAAATCGATCAACTGACCAAGCTGGAATTTAAAATCGTAAAATTGAAAAACCGAAAAATTTAAATATTAAAAAATTCAAAAATCGAAAAATTGGAGATCGATAAATTGTAAAGGCTAAAATAATATTACTCTATACAAAAATTGAAAAATGGCAAAATTAGAAAATCGACAATTGAAAAATAAAAAAAAATAAAAAAAACAACTGAAAAATCGTAAAATCAAAAATCAAGGAAAAAATTGAAAAATGAAAAATTTAAATGTTGAAAAATCAAAAAACCGTAAAATTCAAATGTCGTGAAATCTTAAAAATTGAAAAATCATAAAATCAAAAATTACGAAAAAAAAATAAAACAAAAAAAAATTGTAGGTAAAATCTAATCGAAAAATTAAAAATCAAGGGAAAAATGGAACACTAAAAAAACAAAAATTGGAAATTGATAAACTGTAAAATGTAAATATTAAAATACATAAAAATTGAAAAATAATAAAAAAATCTGAAAAAAATCACAAAAATTGTAAAATCGAAAAATTAAAATATACAAAATTCGAAAAAACAAAAAAATTGAGATATCTAAAAATTGAGAAACAGACAAATTGAAGAAACAAACCGAAAAATCGAAAAATCAAAAAATCGTAAAATCAAAATTGAAACGAACAATTGAAAAATCGTAAAATCAAATGTTTGAAAAATCTGAAATATAAAAATCAAGAAAAAAAAAATTGAAAAATCAATTTGAAAATTTAGAAAATTGAAAAACTGAGATGCATTTCTAAAAATTGTGATACCGTAAAAAATCTAATGGAAAAATTGAAAAATTGAAAATCGGTAATGAAATCGGAAAATTGACAAATTAAGTCAGCGAAAAATAAAAAATATTGAGATGTCAAAAAATTAAGAAATCGAAATGCTGAAGAAACGAACAATTGAATAATCGCAGATTCAAAAATTAAAAAGCCTGAAAAATCGGAAAATTGAGAAATTGTAAAATAGAAAAATCGGAGATTTGAAACATTGAAAAATTAAAATATCAAAAAATAAAATACGGAAAAATTGAAAAATTGGATATCGATAAATTGTAAAAGCTAAATATTACTCCACCTAAAAACTGACAAATAAAAAATTTGAGATATTTAAAAATTGAGAAACAGAGAAATTGAAGAAACAAACAATTGAAAAATCGTAAAATCGAAAATCAAGGAAGAAATTGAAAAATAAAAAAAATGCGAAGTCGTAAAACAGAAAAATCGAAGATTTGACAAATTGAATAATTAAAAATTGAAATGTTGAAAAATCAAAAATTGTGAAATCGAAGAACTGAATAAACGAAAAATTAAAATAAATATCTAAAAACTGAGAAATTGAAAAATCGTAACATCAAAAATGAAGAAAAAATTAACCTAAAATAAAAACGTGAAATTCAAAAAAATTGTTAAAGCGAAAAATTGAACAATCAAAAATTAAGGAAAAAATGGAATAAAAAAAAACAAAAATTGGAATTCGATAAACTGTAAAATCTAAATATTAAAATACCTAAAAACTGAAAAATAAAAAATTTGAAATAATTTAAAAAATTGTAAAATCGAAAAATTAAAATTTCCAAAATTTGAAAAAACAAAAAATTGAGATACCTAAAAAATGAGAAACAGACAAATTGAAGAAACGGACAATTGAAAAATAGTGAAGTCAAAAATCAAGCAAAAAATAGAAAAATCAAAAATTTGTAAAATCAAAAAATTGTGAATTCAAAAAATATAAAATTAAAAAATCAAAATCGATAAATTGTAAAATCTAAACATTAAAATATCTAAAAATTGAAAAATAAGAAAAAATCAGGAAAAAAATCAAAAAAGTAAAATCGAAAATTAAAATATCTAAAATTTGAAAAATCTAAAAATTGTGAAATTAAAGAAATGAACAACTGAAAATTCGTTAAATTGTGGAATCGAAAAATAAAATACAAAATCTAAAAACTTAAAAATTGAAAAATCGTAAAATCTAAATATTATAATATCTAAAAATTAAAAAAGAAAAAAAAACAGGAAAAAATAAAAAAAATAAATCTATTAAAATTAAAATATCAAAAATTTTAAAAATCCAAAAATTATTGAGAAATTGAAGAAACGAACAATTGAAAAATCATAAATTCAAATTTCAAGAAAAAAAATATTGAAAAATCGAAAATTTAGAAAATTGAAAAACTGAGATCCATATCTAAAAAATGAAAATCGGTAGATTAAAAAATCGGAAAATCGAAAAATATAGTACTGAAAAAGAAAAATCAGGAACAAATAAAAAAAAAGTAAAATCGAAAATTAAAATATCTAAAATTTGAAAAATCAAAAAGTTGAGAAATTAAAGAAATGAACAACTGAAAAATCGTTAAATTGTGGAATCGAAAAATAAAATACAAAATCTAAAAACTTAAAAATTGAAAAATCGTAAAATCAAAAAATTGTGAAATCAAAAAATTAGAAAATCGAAAAATATAAAATTGTAAAATCTAAATATTATAATATCTAAAAATGAAAATATCAAAAATTTTAAAAATCTAAAAATTATTGAGAAATTGAAGAAACGAACAATTGAAAAATCATAAATTCAAATTTCAAGAAAAAAAAATATTGAAAAACCGAAAATTTAGAAAACTGAAAAACTGAGATCGATATCTAAAAAATCTAATCGAAAATTGAAAAAATGAAAATCGGTAGATTAAAAAATCAGAAAATCGAAAAATATAGAATTGAAAATGAAAAATCAGGAACAAATAAAAAAAAAGTAAAATCGAAAATTAAAATAAGTATCTAAAATTTTAAAAATCTAAAAATTGAGAAATTAAAGAAATGAACAACTGAAAAATCGTTAAACTGTGGAATCGAAAAATAAAGTACAAAATCTAAAAACTTAGAAATTGAAAAATCGTAAAATCAAAAAATTAGAGAATCGAAAAATATAAAACTGTAAGATCTAAATATTATAATATCTAAAAATTAAAAAAGAAAAACAGGAAAAAATAAAAAAGTAAAACCCAAAATTAAAATATCACAAATTTTAAAAATCTAAAAATTATTGAGAAATTGACGAAACGAAAAATTTAAAAATCATAAATTCAAATTTCAAGAAAAAAATATTGAAAAATCGAAAATTTAGAAAATTGAAAAATTGAGATCCATATCTAAAAAATCTAATCGAAAAATATAGAACTGAAAAAGAAAAATATTTGTTCCTAATAAAAAAAAAGTAAAACCGAAAACTAAAATATCTAAAATATGAAAAATCTAAAAACTGAGAAATTGAAGAAGCGAGCAATTTTGTGAAAATCACAAATTTAAAAACCAAGAAAAAAATTGAAATAAAAAAAAATCTAAGAACTGCGAGATCGTAAAAATCTAATCGAAAAATCGAAAAATTGGAAATTGGTAAATTATAAAATTGGTAAATTAAAGTCAGGGAAAAATATATTTAAAAATTAAAAAATCGAAAAGCTGAAGAAACGAACAATTGAATAATCGTAAAATCAAAAATCAAGAAAAATATTGAAAAATCGAAAATTGAGAAATCGTAAAATTGAAGAATCGTAGATTTGAAAAATTAAAAAATTAAAACATGAAAAAATCGTAAATTCAAAAAAAAAGTAAAATCAAGCTATTGAAAAGTCAAAAATTAACGAAAAAATTGAAAAATCTTAACGATTAGAAATTGAAATACATATCTAAAGGTGAAAATTGGAAAAACTGAAGAATCAAAAATCACGAAAAAACTGAAAAAGCAAACAATGGAAAAATTATAGTCACCAAATTGTAAATTTGAAAAACTGAAAAATCGTAAAATCAAGAAAAAAATTGAAAAATAAAAAATAGCGAAATAAAAAAAATGTAAATCGACAAATTGAAAAACCGAAAAATTAAAATATGTATTTAAAAATTGAAAAATAAAAAAATTGAGGTTCATATCCAAAAGCTGAGAAAACGTAAAACTGGAAAACCAAAAAATTGAAAAATGAAAGAATCGAAAAATTGAAAAATTAAAAATGTATACATATATTGAAAAATCGAAAAATTGAAACATCTAAAAACTGAAAAATCGTAATACCAAAAAACATGAAAAAATTGAAAAATCGTAAAAACAGAAATCAAGAAAAATTGCAAAATTGCAAAATCGTATACCAAAGAAACAAAAAATTCTGAAATCGATAAACAATCGATAAACTGAAGGAACCAAAAATTGCAAATTCAAAAATCGAACATTCTGAATATTAAAATCTACAAACTGCAATCAAAAGATTACAAAATTGTAAAATTGGAAAATCCAAAAATCTGGATACATATCCAAAAACAGAGAAATGAAAAATAACAAAAAATAAAAAAAACAGAAACAGAGAAATGGAGATACCAAAAAATTGAGAAACCATAATAAATGAAACTGAAAAATCAAAAAGTCGTAAAGTCGAAAAATTGGTTAATTGAAAAATTAAAAAAAAATCAAAAATTTGTAAAATCGAAAAATCGTAAATTCAAAAATCAAGAAAAACCTAAGAAATCGAAGAATTGCAAAATCATAAAACTGAAAAATCGAAAAATTCTAAAATCGTATAATTAAGGAAATGAAAAATTGTAAAATTGATGAACTGAAGAAATGAAAAATTGCAAAATAGAAAAATCAAAAATTGAAAAGCTGAAAATTGAAAACTCCGAATATTAAAACCTAGAAACTGAAATCGTAAAATTACAAAAATTGGAAAATTGAAAAATTACTAGGAATGTACCGACTAGTGGCCGACCGGTCGGATAAGCCGACTATTCGGCCGTTTTTCATTGTCGGCTGCAGTCGGCGACTGGTCGGCTAAACAGCCGATCGGTCGGCTTTTTTTATTAAAATTAAAATAGTATATAAAACAATTAAACCCGGTTTACAGAACCTCAATTAAACATTTAATTGCGATTTAATTATTAACCCCGCGTTGAAGTACCATGTGACCGACTCTACGCCAATCAGACGTCGCTAATGGCTTTGTTAAATGCGCGATCAACTTAATCTCAGTTAAAATATTGTATAAACTGGCCCTAAATTGTGTTATTCTTTATCGAACTACTAAAAAAAATTAAATATTAAAATTATCCAATTCGAAATCGAGAAACTGAAGAAACGTAAAATGGAAAAACTGAAAACCCGAAAAACTGCAGAAAAAAACCATCTAAAAATCGAGAAAATCGAAAAACTGTGAAACGATAAAATTGAACAACTGAAGAATGAAAATTTGGTGCAAATAAAAAATACTCAGACCACAAACCCGATAAAAGCAATAAAATTAGTATTAGCATCAATTTGACTTTAACACCAACGTGCTTTGTTGTGATTGGTCGGCAAGGGTACAAACCAGTGACGTATCGAGAGCGCCTTAAACATAAAAGTACTTATCGCAAACAAATGTAAAAAAAACTAGAGCAAACAACGCCATCACCCACTAATGAGTAAGTGTAAATTGATCGTTTTTTTCAAAACCATGTGGTAAACAGTAGCTGCGGAGAGAACGCCAGCACAACAAAGGAACAAAGACCCTCCTCATAATACAACCTCCTCGGCCGCCACTAATCCCTCTACCTGTCGCCAAATCCGAGAACAATCCGCCCTCCCGGCTCTCGAACGCCACCCCCAGCGAGAAGAAGCTCTCCCCGATCTTCGTGTGCTCCCTCTTGTACAAATTCTCGCACTTCTTCTGCTGGTCCGTCGCCGTCTGCATCAGCGCCTTCATGCACTGATCCACCTGGTTAATATACGATATGCTGCTGTCGATTTTGCTCTCGATCGTCGACGCCAGCAAGTCCTTATCCGGCGCCTCCACGCACAGACAGAAATTGGCCCCCACCAGCTGGTCCCGCTCCGCTTTCCGCTTGCCCTCCTTCCACTGCTTGTCGTTGGTGCACGTGAGGAAGTGCCGCCACACATCGCAGGTGGACAGCACCGGGTGCCGGCACACGTAATTGACGAACTCCTGCAGCTGCACCCGGCGGTGCTCGATGAAGTGCTCCTCGTACCGGCCCGAGATCTGCTTGTCGGGCAGCGGCGGGAGGGCGACGATGTTGAACTTCTCCGAGAGCCTGTTGTGCAGCCAGTCGAAGTGCTTGTAGCGGCGGGACACCTCGATGCCGGTGAAGGATGGGGTTAATTGGTATGCGATGAAGGATTTGAGACCGCCCATTTTCGACGCCTTTTTGGGAGAGGTGACTTGTACTGTGTACGGTTCCGAGATCAGTTCCCATCGAAAGACGTTGTCGTTCTCTCGAAATATTCGAACTTTTGTGTGGAGCGGGATATCCTTTAGAGTGCCTGGAAATTACCAGCTGGTACTGCGAGGTCGAGGCGAAAATAGATAGGTTAATTTGGGATCGACAATGAAGGGAATGGCACTTGCAACAATGGAGAGAGGAATGCGGGGTTATTATTAGACGCTGGGGGCGGGGGATAGGGGTCAGACAAACAATCGAATTTAAGAAATTGGTGTGGTTTATGAGAGAATGGAGTAGAGAGAAGTCGATTTTAGCTCGGTAATACTGTGTGAGCTACAGTCTCGCAGAATCGTTGCTGTGTACAGGGGGTTTCACTTCATTTGACGAGTCAAAATTAATTCAAAACTAGCACATGTTTGTATGGAAAATGATAAAATTGTTTTACACAGTTCTACTTAGTTTTTCTAAAGTTTTTCAGAATTTATCTGCATCTCCTTCAAGATACTGCTGACGTCATATAGCCAAGGAAATTTTTAGAAGAAACGGAGTATAAAATTTTTTGTCTACAATACTCGCAACATTGTTACTATACAAATTGGCTTGTTTATAAATAATTGACAATTAGTGATCCGGTGAGATCGGAAGTGCTACGACCCTTTCATAAGGCTTGTAAACAAACTTCATTTTGTAAATTTTTTATTGCTAAATTGGTTGTCTTTGAAGGTAATAATTTAAAAGTAATTTTGATGGGTCAGCTGAAATGTAGGTAATTATGTAATCACTTGTGGTCACATGAACACAGACATATAGCTAATAATTATCACCGTAGTTTTAAAAACAAACTACTTGTAGAATGACCTTTTTCTTTAATAATCGTCGTTAGCTGTTCATTGAAGTATCTAATAATAAATTCTGTTATGGTTAACTTTTTTATATAAATCTCGATGACGATGAAAACATTATCATAAAATTTTTATGCGTCAGATTACAATTAACTCTCTTGGGATAGTCATTAAACAGACATTTTCGTTCATCATAAAAAACATATATAAAAAAAATTGGTCGAAAGCTGTTTCGACAGAACTTCCCTCGCACCTAAAGTACAGTGAAACATATTCAGCATTTTTGCGTTGAGTTTTTACAGAATTTTGTGATGATCAAAATCTTTGCAAAGACACGTATATCAACTTGGATTGGTACACTGTAATACTAAAAATAAAAGTATTGTATTCCCAAAATTTTCTGGGAAAATGGAGTCAGCCGTTCCTGATTTAATCAATAACATAAATTGACACATTCATTTTTTTTTTGAGCCACCTGTATAAGCAATTCTAAAAACTGTGAATGCATTGATAAATCACAAGTAAAAACTCATCATATTTTGCACATTTTGGGTAGACTTAGGAATTTAACTCGTTACTATGGAAATTTGCAATTTAACACCTTTAAATTTCACAAGTTTAGTAGGGGCAAAATCAGTTTTATCTTAACAAATACTAAGCCCGCCCACCCGCCCCCTATTTTCTCAAAGGATATGTTATTTGGCAAAATCAGTCTTATCTTACCAAGTAGTAGCCCCGCCCACCCACCCCCTATTTTCTCAAAGGATATGTGATTTGCCAAAATCAGTCTTATCCTACCAAGTATTAGCAACGCCCACCCGCCCCCTATTTTCTCAAAGGACATGTCATTTGCCAAAATTAGTCTTATCCTACCAAGTACTAGCCCCGCCCACCCGCCCTCTATTTTCTCAGAGGATATGTGATTTGCCAAAATCAGTCTTATCTTACCAAGTACTAGCCCTGCTCTCCCGCCCGTTATTTTTTTAGAGAATATGCCATTTACCAAAATACGACTTATGTTAGCAAGTACTTATTTTCTCAGAGGGTACTACATACTTGCTAGTCCTTGCTAAGATAAGTCTTATTTTGGCAAATGACATATCCTCTGAGTAAGTAGGGGCGGGTGGGCGGGGTTAGCACTTGCTCAGATAAGACTGATTTTGGCAAACGCCATACCTTCTGAGAAAATAGAGGGCGGGTGGGCGGAGCTAGCACTTTCTAAGATTAGACTGATTTTGCCCCTATTAAACTTGTAAAAACTTGTTAAAGGTGTTAAATTGCATGTTTCCACAGTAACGAGTTAAATTTCTAAATCTGATTGGATATTTATTTTTTAACAACTCAGTCATTAATGTTTCTGAGTCACCCTGTATAAGCAAAATTAAAAAAATAAAACAGTATCGACTCATCATATTTTGCACATTTTAGATAGGAATTATCCGGTAAAATTTTGAGATAAATTTTTTGGAGGGGACAAACAAATGTACTTTGATTAAAAATGTATTATATTTACCATAAATTTAAACATCTGTAAGATTTCAAAGCATTCAGTTTGGAAGATTCAAAATTAAATTGCAAAATGTTGTTTAATAATTTTGATTTTTTTTCAAAAATCTGGACGTTTTGGGTAAAAACTCAACACGGAGTCATAAACTACATGTGTAGGACTGTGTTATTTTATGCAATTTAAAACCCATTTACTATGTACAATTTTGGTTAGTGTTTTACCATCTACATGATATTCCTAATACAAATACAAAATTTGACAACAATCGGCCCAGTACTTTCGGAGATTATCTGTCTAATCAAAATCAGGACGGCAGACACAGACAGACGGACATACAGATAGACAGACGGAAACCTATTTCTTCGTACTCTAGGGGTCATGAAAAATCGAAAAAATGTAATAATTAGTAGCGAGTCGGCCGACGGACTCGATTTCCTTCGCTCAAGAGACACTCAAAAATTAAGAAAAAATTCGGGAGCCACGGAGACATTTTTTGAGGCCCCATTCTTCTTACGGAGGTTGGAATTACTAAAACCGCCAACTTTTGGAAAGATGTGACAGAGTTCATTAAAACGAGATAGTTAGACTTAGTCGAAGTGTTGAAACTTTTAATTTCCATTGCATTAACGGGACATAATTCTAAAACAGTTCAAGATTCCGCCTTGCGGCTTACACCATTCGATTCCTTGAAGTTTTTCGGTTCAACTGGTTAATCTTCAGGCCAGATACTCGATCCGTTTAAAATCGAGAGACAAATAGATCGGACGATGTTATTTTTCTTAAGAGTAGACTTTCAAAAATTAAGAAAAAATTCAGGGGCCCGCGGAGACATTTCTTCAGCCTGGATTCTTGTTACGGAGGTTCGAATTAGTAAAGGCACCAATTTTGCAAAAGATGGGACGGAATCCATTCAAACTAGATTCTTTGACAAGATCGAAATGCTGAAATTTTCCATTTCCATTCCATTAACGGGACATTACTCCAAAACAGATTAAGATTCCTCCTTACAGTTTACGCCATTCGGTTGCTTGAAGCTTTTTGGTCCCACCGGTCCATCTTCAGGTCGGATATTCCATCGGTTTAGTATCCAGAGACGGATACTTCGGACGAAGTAATTTTTCTTAAAAGTCGACTTTCAAAAATTAACAAAAAATTCAAAGGCCCGCGGAGACTTTTTGAGTCCGAATTCTTGTTACGGAGGTTCGAATTCGTAAAGGGACCAATTTTGCAAAAGATGGGACGGAATCCATTCAAACTAGATTCTTTGACAAGATCGAAATGCTGAAATTTTCCATGTCCATTCCATTAACCGGACATAACTCCAAAACAGTTTAAAATTCCGTCTTACGGTTTACACCACTCGATTGTTTGAAGTTTTTTGGTCCCACCAGTCTATCTTCAGGTCGGATATTCCACCCGTTTAGTATCCAGAGACGGATATTTCGGACGAAGTCATTTTTCTTAAGAGTCGACTTTCAAAAATTAAGAAAAAATTCAGAGGCCCGCGGAGACTTTTTTTGAGTCCGAATTCTTGTTACAGAGGTTCGAATTAGTAAAGGGACCAATTTTGCAAAAGATGGGACGGAATCCATTCAAACTAGATTCTTTGACAAGGTCGAAATGCTGAAATTTTCACTTTCCATTCCATTAACGGGACATAACTCCAAAACAATTTAAGATTCCGCCTTACGATTTACACTACTCAATTGTTTGAAGATTTTTGGTCCCACCAGTCAATCTTCAGGTCGGATAATCCATCTGTTTAGATCCAGAGACGGATATTTCGGACGAAGTCGTTTTTCTTAAGAGTCGACTTTCCAAAATTAAGAAAAAATTCAGACGCCCGCGGAGACATTTTTTGAGCCTGGATTCTTGTTACGGAGGTTCGAATTAGTAAAGGGACCAATTTTGCAAAAGATGGGACGAAATCCATTCAAATTAGATACTTTGACAAGATCGAAATGCTGAAATTTTCCATTTCCATTCCATTAACGGGACATTACTCCAAAACAGATTAAGATTCCTCCTTACGGTTTACGCCATTCGGTTGCTTGAAGCTTTTTGGCCCCATCAGTCCATCTTCAGGTCAGATATTCCATCCGTTTAGTATCCAGAGACGGATATTTCGGACGATGTCATTTTTCTTAAGAGTGTATTTTCAACAATTAAGTAAAAATTCCAAAGCCCGCGGAGATTTTTTTTGAGTCCGGATTACGGAGGTTCGAATTAGTAATAGGACCAATTTTGCAAAAGATGGGACAGAGTCCATTTAAACTAGATTCTTTGACATGATAGAAATGCTGTAATTTTCCATTTCCATTCCAATAACGGGACATAACTCCAAAACAGATTAAGATTCCTCCTTACAGTTTACGCCATTCGGTTGCTTGAAGCTTTTTGGTCCCACCAGTCAATCTTGAGGTCGGGCAATCCATCCGTTTAGTATCCAGAAACAGATAAGTATTTCGGGCGATGTCATTTTTCTAGAGTTGACTCTCTCAAAAATTAAGAAAAAATTCAGGACCCAGCGGACTCTTTTTTCTCAGCCTGGACTCTTATTACGGGGATTCGAATTAGCAAAAACGCCAATTTTCGGAGAGTTGGAAGAGAATCCATTAAAACGGGACAGTTTGACATGGTCAAAATGCTGAAATTTTCTATTTTCATTCCATTACCAGGATATAACTCCAAAACAGGTTAAGACTTGATCTTGCGGCTTACACCATTCCATTCCTTGGAGTTTTTTGTTTCTACTAGTTAATCTTCAGGCCAGATACTCGATCCGTTTAAAATCGAGAATCAGATATATCGGACGATGTCATTTTTCTTAAGAGTCGATTTCCAAAAATTGAGAAAAAAATTCAGGAGCCCGCGGACTCTTTTTTTCAGGCCGGACTCTTATTACGGGGATTCGAATTAGCAAAAACGCCAATTTTCGGAGAGTTGGAAGAGAATCCATTAAAACGGGACAGTTTGACATGGTCAAAATGCTGAAATTTTCTATTTTCATTCCATTACCAGGATATAACTCCAAAACAGGTTAAGACTTGATCTTGCGGCTTACACCATTCCATTCCTTGGAGTTTTTTGTTTCTACTAGTTAATCTTCAGGCCAGATACTCGATCCGTTTAAAATCGAGAATCAGATATATCGGACGATGTCATTTTTCTTAAGAGTCGATTTCCAAAAATTGAGAAAAAAATTCAGGAGCCCGCGGACTCTTTTTTTCAGGCCGGATTCTTGTTATGGGGATTCGAATTAGCAAAAACGCCAATTTTCAGAGAGTTGGAAGAGAATCTATTAAAACGAGACAGTTTGACATGGTCAAAATGCTGAAATTTTCTATTTCCATTCCATTACCAGGATATAACTCCAAAACAGGTTAAGACTCGATCTTGCGGCTTACACCACTCGATTCCTTGGAGTTTTTTGTTTCTACTAGTTAATCTTCAGGCCAGATACTCGATCCGTATAAAATCGAGAATCAGATATATCGGACGATGTCATTTTTCTTAAGAGTCGACTTTCAAAATAAATTAATAAAAAAATTCAGGACCCCGCGGACTCATTTTCTCAGCCCGGATTTTCGTTACGGGGGTTCGAATTAGTAAATACACTAATTTTCAGAGAGTTGGGTGAGTCCATTAAAACGACATACTTTGACATGGTCGAAATGCCGCATTTTTCATTTCAATTGCATTAACGGGACATAACTCCAACATAGTTTAAGACTCCGCCTTTTGGCTTACACCATTCGATTGCTTGAAGCTTTTTGATACCACCAGTTGGTCTTCAGGACGGATATTTCACCACTCAAAACTTATCTTAATCCAATATTAAAAGACTTATTGTTAAACATTTTTAACTATACCCTGTTTACAACTTTCTCTATACATTGCAAGGGTTTAAAAACAGTTTACCGTCTTCTTTTTAAAATTTTGGTGAAATTTTTCATCCCGTATTTTTAAAAATCAATCTCCTAATTGTTTATGGAAATTTCGGTACGCGATTTTCACCACTGTTTTCAGCTAACAAAACTCTATAAATCAAAGGAAAAACATTGTCAATTTTTCCTATGATTTATAGTTTTGTAAAAAAAAAGAAAAAAAAAAGATGTGAAAACGTAATAGAACACGAGATGTGACAAAAAAAAAGAAACAAGTTGTTTATTAAATATGACCAATATTTTTAACTCAAATTACAAACATCTTAATAATTGTTAGGCACCAGTGATCTGAAGCTCTAGGTTGTTTTTTGCTGAAAAAAGCTTAGTATGCAAAATATGTTTCTTTTAAAGACATGAAGAGTTCATTTGTTTTCATAACGTGACGTCTGACATTTTTAAATTCATGGAACAAAAAGGTTGGCTTTTATTAAGAAGTACATTTCTACCTCTATTAAAGATGCTAAATGTGTAAGTAAAGGAACCGAATAGAACTGTAATATCTGTGTACAACAAATTAATTAAAGTATCAGGTTTTCAATTAATGAGCCACCTTATGGCTGGTCATATTTTTTGAGTCTTACTTAACGTAACTTTTAAAAAAGAAAATTAAAGTACTGTCATAAAAAAAAACTTCAGGTTCCTGGCTAAAATATACAGTGTGAAACGACTTATCAAATAAATTCGGTATTCTAAAAGTAATATTTTTAACAATTAACAGACCATTTTATTACACAAATTCTTGTTAAAAAACAAAATATCTACGCATCTCGTTCAAAAAGTGGTGACGTCATCTGATTACTATTACGCGTAATATACATATTCGGTTGTAGATCTACAATTGATTTTTTTTTATTTTAATAGTTCTAATATATCTACGCCAAAACCAAAAATATTTTATACAAATTTAAATAACTATATAAAAAATGGTTATCTCTTATTTTAATTAATAAATTTCAATACCAAATATTAGGATTTATGACAAACGTAAACACACAAAATACCAGTATCAGTGAAATTTTGTTTAAACATTTAACAAAATTATGCAATTATGTAATTTTGAAATCCCACTAGTTTTATCTTTGTTAATATTTTATCGCCATTAGTGGAACTGGGATCAAGAGAAGTACGAAAGATAAAGTTACTAAAGTGGATTTACTGGAAGACCATCCTCTATGTACACAGAAATACAACACTCTTAATCCCAACAATAACAACGTAAATAAAGCGAAATTAAGAAAGTGTATTCTCTGCCACTTCCATCCTTAATCAACATCTAGTAATTATTTCAACATTTTCAACCATAAGTTAAAAAACTCTGCCAAGACTCACTATGAATAAAATCAACACTACACATGCTTGTCATGTAATTAAGTGCTAATTAAAAACGAAATATGTAATTTAGTGAATAATTCAACGACCTTTCAATATTAATAAAAAATGTTTCTTTATCTTTATGGTATAGGTATTAATTTAACGCTCTGCATTTTCCAAACAACAATTCCTTATCAGAATCACTGTTAGCAATTAATTTCATTGCTTCTAAGTCATGATTAATATAAACGCCCATGAATAATAAACGTTAATTGCTTGAAACGCTCCTGCGTTTTTTGATTAAACCCAAAGACCTGTACCAGCACGATATCTACCAGAGCTTAGCAAATATCATTAGCAAACACTCTTACAATATTTATCTCGTTGTTTGCCTTTTAAACACAAATAAATATTTATCTCGGGCATCAATTCAGATGCCAAACAATTTTTATGCCACAAACACAAATACAAACATTACCGAAAATATAACTTTCCAAGCCACTCTTCACATACGACGAGAAAATATTCAAACTCTTCTTGTGCTGGGCCTTATTATCCACACTAAAATTACTTTCCGAAACGTTATCAACCTGTCCACTTCCATAACTATACTGGTTCTGGTTGGGCTCGTGGGCATACGCCTCCCTTTGGGTGTTATTAGTAACTTCACTGTATGTGTCATCATTGTCCCACTCGTCGTCCCAATCGTCGTCCTGCTGCCCGGCGCCCCAGTCGCTCTGGGGCGGCAGCGCCGGCGGCGGCACACTCGGGGGCCCCGAGTCCTCCACCTTCTGCACGTACGCCTCCGGGAACAGCCCCGACTGCCCCCGGCTGTTCAGCCCCTCCCACCAGCCCTCTCCGATGTCCACCCGAGTCACCGAGAGCACCTCGCCTGCCACGATGGACAGCTCGGCCGAGTTGGACTCGCCCTCGAAGTCGTAGAGCGCTTGCACTTTGAACAGGGCCATTATTGAGGATTCACTGGGAAATGTCAGCTGGTGGCATTAAGTGGGAGGCTCTTGAACTCTGCTGACACTTGGATAACCTATAAAGTGACAGTCGTGCACCGAACACTACACGCATGGAAAATAAGGCACTTTTTCGCGAGGTGGCCGAAGTCGGGAATTAGAACGGTTGCAAGGCGCGGGACGATAAAATTAGGCGAATTTATTTATCTTGAGTGATCGTCATCACTACAATGTCAAACCGGTGATTACTGGAGCGACGCGTGAGGGCGCTGCGGACGGTGCTGGCGTTGTGAATCATAATGCGATAGTACACGATCGGACAACAATAATTCGTCGGGACAAGGTCGCACGTGGTTCGGGAACGTCAAGCTTGACAGAGGGTTGAGAAATTTCCGCCTGGAAATTTCTGCTATTTTCTATAGGTTCTACCCATTTTGAACTTCACATAATTTATTTCAAAGCAACTTGTGCTACGTGATGACATTGTTATTGTTACACATTTTTGTGTATTTTTTTAATATTCCAAAATTTGAAACACAACTTTAATTAACCCACGCTAACCTGAATGATAATCTAGTGTGTACAGGTTAAGGTTTCGAGGTTTCGCTCTGTGGTTACGTTTGTTACGACTGTCATTCGGTTTTAGTATTATCTCGGTTGTGGTGCCAATCTCTGATTTTTGTGTTTTTATAATTATATGTATCTACTATCTTACGATGCCGACGAGTTATTTCAAGCAAACGAAAACAAATATCTCTGGAACTCCAGAGCTCTCACAAAAAATATCACTGGTTATTTTTAGCGACAATTAACAAGTGTGTTATTTTTTGCGACAAGAATTTTTTCTAAATGTGTGCCCTACTTTTCACCAGAAGCTTCCGCATGTTCTATATTTAAAAGCTAATTATTTTGAGATTTTCGTTGGCGCCCTGGTTTTCGTTTACTGCATTTCTGTGAATTTCTTAGTATTAAATTTGTGCAACAGTGCAATTAATTTCCTCCACCAGCTTCCAACTCGCATCGTTAAACAAAAAGAATCTGAGCAATGTGTTTGATTATCGGGCCATCTGCTTATTTAGTCATCGAAATGGTCCGGATCCATTTATTGCCGCATATACATTGTATTATAAACATTTACATCAGAGATTTTATTTGAACGGGATGCTGCGTTCGAAAATAATTATGTACGCCTCTGCCATTCACATGAATAAAACATCATGATTAGCTACATAGAAATGATTGATTAATAAAATGGGTTTGGGTCCGTGGAGGTATGTGTAACACCTGTTCGATGGCTTTTCTCATGCTTATTTATTTTAATCGTGCGTTCCAAGTGCAGGGTTAATTAGAATAATTATTGAGTAACGATTGATATTTCGTAATTTATGGACCACCAGGCTATTGTTCTAGACCCGTAACTTTCGAACGATAAGTCAGGAAAACAATGAGCGTAATCGGTTGATCGCTAGAGGGAAATAAGTATTTTCGTTGGGTCTGTGTTTGGTGCTAATGAAAGAAATGAAAACAATAACAGAAATAAAATACGAGGTTTATGACTACTGGTACTTTGGTATACACGGCATGTACGCTAATTATACGACGCACGTGGTTACAGAGTAAAATGCAAATGACATACCTATATGCATTATTGTTGTATGTTTTAATTATCAATCACCTTTAAACTTAAAAATAAATGTGACGTAATTACTTAAATTTATAGTAGTTTGGCTTAGCACTAGAGATAAATCGTGCAAGATCAAATTCTCCTAATGCACTTTACATTTAAGTAGCAGGTATTGGCCACATGCAATGCATTTTACTTAATAAAAAGATAACGTCACACGAAGTCGTGCTAAAAATGTAATATTTGAAAAACTTGATAATAAAAAAAATATATATAGTGTGCTAAAGTTCTTTTTGTTTACTTTTAGAGTAGCTAATAGTTGTTTAATAAGTGATTCTATTTTAGTTTCTAATCTCTAAAAAGCACTTGTTAGATAAGACTTACTTATACCACATTTATTTTTTATCACACGATATAACTTTTATCAGTCATTTAGAAAATTATAAATCCGACCATAAATTAGCTGTTGATATTAAGCAAGTGCTACTACATCGACCCGGTTTTGTGACTGACAATGTTCACCTATTCACAGTAGGGAAGAATTTCTTAGCTAAATATTAGAACTACCATTGCTCAAACAACATGACAGACGGTTTAGAAATGTCACTCTGCAAACAATACCACTAACGTTACATTTTTCTTTCTCACACTGTGTGATGTAATAATGACGATAATATTTATTTAGATAATTTTCTTGTTAACGACTTTCTTCATTTTGGGTGTTTTATCTATTTAATTTTCTCACACGGTATGAGGAAAGAATACTGATAATGTTTCTTTAAATATTTCACCTATTGCGCATTTCCTTCCTCCTTTTTTTGTTTTATTCACCTACTTTAAGGAAACAATGTGTTGGATAGCGTGGTTTTTGCACTGACACTGGAAGCTAGAATTTTATTCGTAAGCTTGTAATTGATTTATGCGGTAATCGTACGTTTTAAGCGAGTTCGTGATATAAAAAAATGTGTAGTTCAAGGGTAAAGTCACACTTACTTGAAACAGATGGAGAAATTTTACCACAAATACTAAGTATACATATTTAAGTACGTCACAATTGACCTTAAGTTTTATCTTTGATAATTGATAACCCTTGTTAAATCGAGTCTACAATGCAGTGAGGTACTCTATTTAACGTGTATAACAAATATGCTAAAAACCGTGTTACGTACTTTACATAAAACTACGAAGGTACGTTGCCTCGGTATAAATTTGAATTTTCTATGCATCATTTAACCTTGATGGAATAAAATACCAAGTAAGACACCTAATTGTTACCTCACCAGATAGTCACTCAATTTGCCATTTATTTCAAGCCAAATGAAAGAATTAATTAAACATTTTTAATACTCACTCAAGCCAGTGGCGTTTTTTTAAACTTTGAAAAACACTTTGTTTCCCATTGTCACAATTCTTTCCAAATAAGAAAATTATGGTAATTTTGCTACCCACGATGTTTCTTTCAGCCGACGAACAACACAAATATTTCACTATTGCTTGTCAGTCGCGCACTGACGGAGGAACGGATTAAATTTCTAACATACGCGTGCTCTCGCGTCACGTGACTGTTAGTTGATGGGTAGGACCAACCGCAACAATGGGCTTTTATTTACGACCATGGTTCTAGCGCTTCCGTCAACAAAAACACCAGCGTGGTAAAAATAATATATTTAAAGCTATTCTACAACAAAAGAAAAATGAAAATCAGTAGACAGTAAGCAAATGGAACAAACAAGCGAACAACCGGAGCTTGGCAGGATAATCTTCAGGCTGCAGCTGGAAAAATTGACACAGTTTCAGTTATCGACGGCAACAATGTCAATGATAAGATTACAGCAATAAAACAATTATCGACGGTAATCACTGTTATCTTCTAAAAAATATTGAGCATGAAGTGACATGAAAATTCGACTCCAACAATGTTGGCACCTTCGAATCCATTCGTAAAAGAATGAAGAAAAAAAAATCAAGTATTACCTAATTTGGTGTCTAGGATTTTGTACCTTCTATGGCCACAGGAGCCGCTGGTTCAGCTGGTGGCACCTCCACGACAGGCTCAGCTGCAGGGGCCGCAGGAGCTTCAGAGGGTGCAGGAGCTGCAGGAGCTTCCGCCGGTGCTTCAGCAGGAGCGGCTGCAGCCGGTGCAGGTTCAGCAGGTGGAGCTGCAGCTGCTTCTGGTGCCGGGGCAGCGTCTGTGGTTGCAGGAGCTTCAGCACCTTCGGCAGCAGGGGCTGCGGGTTCAGCAGGAGCACCCTCGGCGGCGGGAGCTGCAGGTGCAGCGTCGCCGCTAGGAGGAGCCGCAGCTTCGCCTTCAGCTGCTGGTTGAGCAGGAGGTGCTTCACCCTCTGTTGCAGCTACGGCAGCTTCAGCTGGTGCTTCACCTGCTGCAACAAATTCATCGTCACTACCCCGTCACACCACAACCTCCCATGACGATGGTACAGTGCTTAATGACGTGATCGATCATGAAGCACTTACCACTCTGCTTTAGTTTATCCAAGAGCTCCTCGAAGCTCAACTGACGCTCTTCGGGGTTATCGGTTAAATCTACAACTTTATATTTTAGCGAGTTTTTAATGTACAAAACCACACCCTCTCCGCTATTTTTACGGTTCTCAACTAGGGAGTAATTGGGGATAGAAACACCTTCTTTGTTGTCAGTGGGGGCTAAGACAGTTTCGGGTAAAGCTACTATGTCATAATTTTCGTTAATAACAAGCTGTTTAAAGGTTTCGAAGCCTGAAATAACCAGCAACATCATTGTTGAGGTGATTTTAGGTCAAATGGGTGGTACTTACCGCTGGCGGGTTCTTCTGGCTTCGGGGGTTCAGAGGGAGCGCCCTCCACGGGTGGGGCTCCTTCCGTCGGAGGGGCTCCCTCCGTGGGCGGGGCTCCGTCAACGGGTGCTGCTGGCTCGGCGGGGGCACCTTCTGCAGGTGGTGCTCCTTCTACCGGTTGCGCTGTTTCAGCAGGAGGTACAGTTTCGCCAGCTTCGGGGGTTGGTGCGCCTTCGGATGGAGGTGGGGCTTCACCTGGAGGGGCTGCACCTTCCGTGGGGGCTCCCTCGGGTGGAGCCTGCTCTGGAGGCGGTGCCTCTGCCTCACCTTCCTGAAAATTGTTTTTCATTTTTACTTGTCAGCGAAATGTTTTGGACTTTTTTAAGTGACGAAGTCTTCAAGTATTATGTTTCTTTTCTTTTATTTATTTATTTATTTTATTTATATTTCATTGTGTTCTTACCTTGATATAAACTTCCATAAAATAAAACTGTAGTTCATATCTCGCTTTCAGCGTAGATATTTAAGTAAAATAAAAACTAATTTTAATAACATATTAACTGAAAAGTCAAACTATGTAGTAAATGAAATGAATGTGGCTATGATTTTTTAAAAATATTTCTATTAATTAAAACGCATGAAAAAAGCACAACTGTCATTATTAGTCAACATAAATCAATTCTGTCGAAACGTCGTATGTATTGTTAATTGTTAGCTATAAAAAATTTATGTATAAATCATTAGAGATAGTATTCAGTCCTTTCGAATGATTTTATAACTCAGCTAGTGTCTCGTTAAAAAAAAAATCATGGGCTAAACTACAGTTTCGTAAAAAATAAAACGGGAGAGTACTTACCAATAAATTACGACTTTCTTTTACACAATAGATGTTTGATTATACTGTGCTCATGATACACGTGACATTTACCTGCCACTGCCGCCGTCGTATTCAAAATAAAAAATGAATCTTAGGTGATCTGAACTGATTTTTAATTTAAAAACTCCCTTATTCTTTATGAGTGTCTATTGATGGAGTTATTTTCAGTATATTACTCTTCTACTACTACTATTACGCGGAAAAAAAATAGAGATCTGAATTTTTGCAAAATTATCATTTTTCTTTAAAGAAAAAATATATACTTGACCAAACTACTAATTTCAAAAAACTACACAAATAAAAGTTCATAGTTGTTAACTCGCTATGGAGTTAACTGTATGTATAAATTTGCAAAATATGAGTGAAAAATGAATATACAAAAGAAAAAAATCATAATTGTAGTAGGTAATTAAAAAACAAAAAAAAAACAAAAATAAAAAGGACAAATTATATCAAAACAAAAATTATATAAAATAAACACAAACAAAAAATGACGAAAAAAGGTCGTTCACAACACAACACATCCATCTTGAAGATTTTTTTAATAACGTACTTTACAAATACAGGAGTAGTGACAATACAGAGGTGCGTGCAGGTAATACACCCTTATAAAATACATAATAGAGATATCCATTAGATAAAATATAATCTGATACTGGTAACCCTGACAAGTGGGAAAAAGGGGTAAGGGTGTTCATGCTTCGGCTTCCTGTACCTTCTTCTCTTCTCCTTTCTTGGACCAATCTGGTTTTTTCTGGAAATTCGAAACGAAAAATTAATATCAGAGCAGACAAGCTCGAAAAAAAAAACAGCAAATATTACAATAAATGCAGGGTACTGAAAAAATCTAATAAAAAAATAAAACCATCAAAAATATCGTTCACCACATCTATTTGGGTTTGTGTAAGAGCTATAGTGCTGCAATAAAAAATATAAAAAATGGAATTGCGGAGCTACAGTGCTGTGGACTTAACTGAGCTTTACCTTAGCAGCTGCATCAGCTTTTGAAGCATTCTGAAAAGTTATTAAAGCAATTTAGCGACATCTGAACGTGAAATATAAATTCACAACAATACAGCAAATATTAAAAGCAACGAAATTTAGCAAAGCTAATGGCTCACCTTTCTGATCATTTTCCGTTTAAAAAGAAAAAGCTTTCAAAAACATTGCACAAAAAATTAGTTCTATTACAAAAAAGTAGGGTATTAAAAAAGCCCCCGAGAAGAAAAAAAAATGAAAAAAGAGGCGAGAAAAAGATAATAATTGCAGAAGTGTGTTGTGTATATTTTATTAACAATTCAAGTGTCTGTTGAAATAAATATCGTTATGACATGGTAAAAATGTTGACGCCTTAATTTACTTCCCCTTCTGCCACTCGGCTTTTTCAGATTTCTTGGGCTGCGAAAAACAAATTTATATTCTAGCACGTTGAAGACTCTGTGAAGTGGGCAGGACTTACGCCGTAAATCGTGGCCACTTTTTGCTAGTGCAAGTCTTTATTTAATTGTGTTTTTAGTGTTTTTACATTTCTTTGAAAAATTAAATAAAGACCGCTTAGTATAAATTATATTTTCTGTCAACGACTTTTATTCGAGAAAGAAATTTTTTGATCTTACCTCTTTATCTTCTTCTTCAAGTGTGAATTCCTTCTTCTTGACAACTTTGAGTTGGTTCCTGAAGTTGAATTCAGCTGCCTTCTTCTGCAATTTGGCGAACTTGTTCTCGTATTTGGAAACTTTCTTTAGTGTTGGTTTGACGCTGCGGGAAAAATTTTTGCCAAGTGTTTTGTCAGTCGTGACGATGTTTTACTTACAATTTGCCTCTAAGGTCGTTAACTTGGCTGTTCAGGTCGGCGATCTGAGAATGGCGAAAAATTAGAATTGTGACAAAGAGCCCTTACGTAAATCAATGTTGTTCTTTCGATTGATGGATCGTAACAGGAACAACATCGCACAACAGCAAACTTTAGTAGGCGGTGCAGTTACAAAGAGCTCACACCAAGAAGAAATAAAGAAGCGAAAACTTTGCGAAAAACGACATGTAGGTTAGTAACTAAAGGAAAATTAGGCAAGAGTGAAAAGCTAGGCTAGATACCAAGACGACTAGACAATGAAGGGTCAAAATAGCAAAATATGGGGGTTCCGCCTGTAACTATCAACAAAACAAATCTACTACAAAAAATTATACACAATATACAGCCATGAGAAATATCAAAATACAAAATCATTTCTCAGAAAAGTGACTGGGGGAGGTAGGGAAACGTAACTTCGTTGCAAAATCGTCGCTTCTGTAATAAAAACATGACAAAAGTGTAAAAAGAGAAGTTACGGTGACTCCGGAGATGATGGGATCTTGACTATATGAAACTGGTCATACTCAGGGTTTCCGAAAGCTCTAGCTACTAAATGTTCAGACCACCACGTCCGTGCTGTCCTGAACAGTACCTAATATTATTCACAAGTTAAATGAATTAACCGATCCTGAAACGCCTGAAGGACTGGCAAAAAAGGATCGAGCATGGCACTTCGAATTCCTGTAAACTGGTAGGTTCCGATTCCTTCCTGTCACGAAACTGGCGATTTGGAACGTAAAAAACAACACGGTCAAAAATCGACAAAGCATGAAGAGCCATGCCGTTCGAGGAAAAAATTGCCAGGTTGTTAAAAAGCAACGTCGTTTGAAAAACTGAGGGTGAGGTGAAAGCCTTGGTTGTTTCAGGACCAGCAGATGTTACAGATTTGTTTGGAACAAATTTGCAACATGGAGTTACTGAGTATATACAAATGTATGAAATCTGTTGATGAGAGCAGCCCTGGGTGTCTTCGTATTAGTGGGGTTAGTTAAAACTGTGGTGTTACGCAGGAGAGGAACATACGGCTTAACACTTCATGTACTTCAACTTAGTATACAACGGATGTCAAGTATTATAATTGGTTTATTATACCACAGGACTGACTGTGCGTTTTGACGAATTTTGAACACTGAAGTCAAGATCGAGTGTTTAAAATTGATCAAAATCGATGATGATAGAAATATCGTTGTATGTATGATGTGAAGCGTAAAACAGTGTTTGTCGGTACCTCCCAGTCTCGCTTTCGGACTTCGCGTTCCAAATCCCACTTCTGTTCCTCGCAAATGTACATGCGGTCATAATAGTCTTTCACTATCTTCTTAAGCTGGCCTAGAATCGGAAACGGAACCAGCAGTCAGCAAAAGTACACAACCGCTGAGAGCCCATGTGCATGATTCAGAACCGTTCGGAATTATGCACCAGGGAAAAGGTGTGTCGTGTGTAATATGGGAACGGTATGGAATGGTTGATGGTCGGGAACGGTGATTCTCCAAGTCAACATAGGAGAACACAAACAGTAGTCCTAAGTACATAGCTCGGCAAAATATATACATTGCGTAAAATAGCAACCAGCCTAAAAAATCTGAGAATTTTTGAAGCTGGTGTCGCCCAGAATGCCATTCTTCGGTTACTAAAAATCACAAGGCCTGTGTATCGTGTATAGTTGTACCTCAACAGCTTTATGTCTTTCGATTAGTTCCAAGTCATATTTATCCCCCTCAAGTCCCGAAATTCTTTGGTGATAGCTTTGACAAATAGTTTGAAGTTCAGCTAGAAGAAATAACACAGTTATCACAACAAAGGACCAGGTTCCGGAGCACATTTTTCTGCGTGTGACGATTCCGACGATACCTCGAGGAGTACGGGATCACAGAAAGGGAAAGCAAAGCAAAAATTGTTGAGAAAAAGTAGTGTCGATATTGTGTATTTTTTCAAAATGCAAAAACTGATGTCTAGTTGTTTCGTCTCGGCTCCGAAAACTATTACTGTGCAGAAGCTCTACAGTGTGTGAGTGTTATGATCTCTCTACGCATCGCATGTGCAGTACAACATTTCCTCCAAGTGCCCAGTCTACCTGAAAATCTCTGACTTCCACCTCCTTTTCAAGATCATATTTCTGATTCTCTAGATCTGCTATACGTTTATGATAGTTCTGGCAGACTTGTTTAGTAGTTCCTAGAATGTATAACGTGCGTGGGACAAACGTGTTAAATCAGCAAGGAACGGTTGAACCAACGTAATTGGATCGACCCTCCTTCCCATGTCTGTATTGTGGGTGTCTATGCGTACAAAATACAAATATAGCGTAGAAGGGGACAGTACTTAAAACAGACGTACACTGTCATATACGTACATAAAAACCAAAAATAGCTCACTGCATTCGTTCGTCCCGGAGCAAAAAGCAAAAATCTTAACGAATTACAGTTTAGAACATGCATATAGAGTAACAATACCGTCTGTATGCAATTATTCTAACCTCGATGTCTTTCATTCTAGCGATATATTCCAAATCGTATTTATCTGCTTCCAAGGCGTAGACTTTGTCATAATAACCTTTGCAGGTACTTTGCAAATCATCTAAATAAAACACATATTACGTTCACGCTGACCCTAAACGCTACCATAGACTTCAAAAACGTGTTGTCTTATAGTAACGTCTCATACACAGTACAAACTTAGCTTCCTACCTTCGTTTGCATCATCGATGAGTTTGGGTTTACCGCAACGTTCCTCAATGATGCGTCTCCTCTCGGCAGCTTTGCGTTCTTGTTCTTTCTTCAACTCCTCAGCGGCTTTCTTTCTCAACAGCAACTACTCAAGACACAGTTACTAATCTGAATCTTCCAATTTTCGTAATACTCACCCTAAGCTTCTTCTTTCTCTCAGGGGTCATGAAACCTTTCTTCGCCTTCTTGGCCTTGGAGGCCTCTTCCATGCGGGCCCTGACCTCAGCGCGCTTGCGCTCGATCTCCGCCTGTTTCCTCTTCTTTTCCTGCTCATAAACCACGTCAGTATACTTACCCCTGGTATACAAAGTAGCATTTTCATGCTATTTTGTATACACTTGTGACCCGGAATCTTCTCGGGCTACATGCCTCCTCGAGCTTTTTTCTCTGCAAAAGAGACAACGCAAGATTAGAAGGGTGAAAGTGGAAGAACGCCACATAAAGAAGTACTTTATATGACGTGTTTTCGTGGTTAAGGGGTGCAAAAATTTCAAAAATTGTGCTTTAGTAATTTCTGCGTAAAAAAAAGAGATAACGCAGAATTAAGATTAAACATGTGCGACAAGATTAGATTTTTTTGTGCTTTTTTTTCAAAAACGAATTGTGTCTAGTTATTCACAATGAAACAAAAATAATAAAAATTAGAATTGTGGTGGTTGAAGATTGGTGTCGGTTAGTCACATTTAACAATCACCAACTTACTCAGCTCCTGGATCTACTAGTACTATGTACTACTATACTAGATAGCGGGAAAAACTAGAAGAATCTACACGAAGACTTACTACTCACTAATTTTAGGGGTGTTTTTTGTTTGTATACTTTGGATACAAAATATTTTGGGGAACTACTTGTGTCTGATATATTTTTTGTTCTACTTGTATGTAGATTTGTGTCTAGAGTGTCTACCTATACTTTAAAAGCAAAGTCTAGTCTACTCGTTGTCGATTTGAGTAGATCACATTAGTGTCACACTTTCTGCATGCAAGATATTTACCTGCTTTTGCTAGCATAGCAGATTCTACCCTCATACTGTACACCCCAAGTAGACGAAGTACATGAAAAAAGAAACCCCAGTTAATAAAAAAAACCCAATTATTAACCCCTTCATCGTCCTACTCACCTAACCTCATCGTCCGCCATGGTGAAGGGTTGTGTTGTTCTGCAAAAAACCCAAATTAGTAATAAAAACCCAATCTATGACCCAACCGTTTCATAACAATCCGTCGATCTATTTTTGGCTCGGGTTGAAAATAACCGACACAGACACACCGCCAAATTTGGCATCCGCCACTTCCACATTTCTCCAGTTACACACTCAAAATAGAACACTCTCTCGGACGCAGAAAACGAACATTGTAAACACCTCGAAGCCACTTGATGGGCCCCCAAGGGTCGGTTATATAACAGGTACGTACCTTTGTTACGATACGAGGAACAGTGAGCAGCCAACAAGAGTTTCGTGTGCTGACTGTTGGATTTGTTCCTTCGGGACTCTCTAGCCGGATGGGAGGCCCCCCACCCGTTGTTGGCGCCCCTCTTCGTGCACCATTTAGGTAGCTTCCACTACCTCGCCACCAAAATAGACTTGGGGTATTCGATACCTCTGTGGCGAATGTGCAGAAAACGAGATTTTCGGGGCGAACCATTTTCGAAATGAATTAGGGACTTTCGAAAAGAATCGGGAGGCGAAAGGGAAATGCGGGTTTATGGCTGGGACATTGTTGGCGTCGTTGGCAGGTGCTTCGGACCAAAAATAGAGCGTTTCCTATGATAGAAATAAACTGCGGTGATGAGCAATTGCTTGTTTGGGTTGATGGGTTTAACGTCAATATTAACTGCGAAGGAGGTTTTAGGGAAATCAAGATTTAAATGAATCGGATCGGTTGGTTTGTTTATAGAATGGACGAAAATAGCCGGAAGAGTGGGTTGGCAAGGATTTTTATTTATTATTTTCTGAAAGTTAACTCTATTTGTATAGAATGAAAGAAGAGCAAAATCATTCTTTGATTCGATAATCGTGCGAAATGAAAACCCGCATTCTTGTAGGTGTGCCAAACATATTTTTAAAATTTTATTTCCGGCAGATGTCATGACGTACGTAAAAGTATCATTTTTTCAAAAATGAGACGAGACAACTATTTTCAGATCTAAGTCGTTGTATTTTTTTCATTGAACGTAGGTTGCAATTATTGTCATAATCCATTTCTTATACAAGTAGTAGTTTTGAAGTAATTTTGGCCACAATCAAAATGAGACATCCTGTATATCTGACAAACACTGCAAATTACGATTTTCCTTCAGTAAAAGCTCCTTCGGTCTAGTTTAAACCAAAAATAATTTTATCTAGTTGCTAAAAATGAATGTTATTATTTTAGAATTCTGTTCTTTACTTGCCAAAATAGTTCAAGTGTTTAAACCACCAAGTGGGTATTGATTATTATTAGGACTGTGTATTTTCGAGCTTGCAGACTTCGTCGCGAGATGGCGCTTCATTTCTTGAAATTTCCTGAAACAGATCCTGCTTTTACCGCCTCCTGCTGAACTGCCAGTGGCGCCTTGTATGACCTTATAAGTGGAAAATCGCAGAACTAGAGCTTTGTTTACAGTGGTTGAATGACCGCACACATAAACAAAATGCACGAAGGAATAAAATACAATTAAAAATTTTCAGATATACCCCCAAACCCGAATCAACTAATTTTTGTAAAAACTTGTACTATTTCGAAGCGAATGCACTTTGTAATCCTGTTAACTAATTAGCACATAGCATTCTTCCCTCTTTATTTACCAAGGAAACTAATTCAGCTTAAGCCAACTGAAAACATCAATAATATAATATTCGTGGGGGGCTCTATTTTAGACCCGCAAGACCCGGATGCTTTCATAAATTGCTTGAATAAATGTAAGTTCATTGAGTATTTTCAGGCATATTTACAGTGCAGATAGCTAGAAATAGCTGACCTATATAACCTTAGAGCCGTGACTGGGCTATGACGTCATAGTCGTTGTCATGCCAACAGGTTAGCGGCAGCATTTAGATTGACACCTTTGGCTCATGCATCAAATAGAAGAAAATCAAATTTTCTATTAATTTCGGGTCGGAAGTGGAATGTTGTTCCTGGAAAGATCTAAACGAAATTCTGGAGAGAACTGGAAACGGTGCAAGGGTCAAGTGGTGACGTCAGAGGCTTTATGGATACACCGTCTGGTTAAAAAAGATCATCAGAATCACATTAAATGAATGTTAATGGAAATTTATGCATTATATTTAATAAAAATTGCTTTATTTGTTATTTGAAAACGATGTCGTCTTGAAAGGAAAGCCACTTTTAGAAAATGTTTATGTTAGATTCTCGCTCGTTACTGCTTTGGTCAGGTCCGCCAAAAGTTACAACAATTAAGATTCAAATTAATTATTCCCTAATCTTGTTTTAAATTAGATCAGGTACGGATATTAGTCCAGAGATTTTTTTTTAAGACTGGCTAAAAATATCGCAGTGGGAGTATGTGTTTAAAAGCGTCTTACAAGTGTTCGTCTATTTTTAAGATTTGCTTTTACTATTGTTTGAAATTGATCTGTCGTTGTAAAGAACTAGGAAATTTATAAAATTGTACAACGAAAGTATTGTGTTGTTACTTGTTAATTTTAGCAATTGGTAACTCACGTAATAATGCATTTTCGTGTTAATTCCTGAAATCAGTAAAGTTATATTTTTTTAACACACTTGCTCTGTTGTACTGTTACAAAATATTGTTACACAATTTGGATTTTTTGTGAAAATCTGTCTGTTTCGAGTCCAGAAATATGTCATTTTACGAAACTTAAATAGCATTTACTACGAACATTTTTGAGATGGCGTCATCAAGTTGTTAGAGGGGATAATCACACAAATTGTGGTTATGGTTTTGCCATCTGTACGATATACCGACAATACATATAAAATTGTGGGACGGAAACGGAGGACCTATTTTTCCATATTCTAGGGGTTATGAAACGATGAGAAAACATGAGTGTAGCCGTTCTTTGAATGGATCTTAAACTTCTTCATTAATGATTTCTTCGTTAGCTTTGTACTGCTCATGGTAGAGGTATGATATATTTTTAAAAATCTCTAAAGAACTGACTTTGGCTTGGTGTAACATCGTGAGTGTGAGTTTGAAAATAAATCTTTATTTGATAATTTCTGAAAAGACGTCATCAATATTTTAATTTGAATAAAGAACAATAAAATTATGTGTACGAATGTATACCCTGTATAAATATTTTTAAATCGAATCTGACTATTAAATTTACATTAATGCAGATCAAGATGGCGTCATCAGTTTTATGAAAAGTGTGAATAAAGGAAAGTTATTTGTGTATCAGGGCTATAAAGAAGAACTTTTTCGGATAAGAAGCAAGGTATCAGTACCACGTGGAAAATATTGCATAAAAAATTGTAAAGTAATTGTAATCAAAATCAAGGCTGATTCATAAACCACGAGAACATCAGTATATATTATTTCGTCAAATGGGAATAACCTTAACTACGCAAAATGATGAGGCGACGTCATCACATTGTTGGTGGGGATGATTAGTTACATATTGAATATCGTTTTTCGTCTATACGAATTCCTAAAATCTACTGCCAGACAAAAAACCCCGACACTTGACCTTTTGTAAAAAATATTCCAAAAAGCGCTTTGTTACCAAGTGCTAGCCCCGCCCACCCGCTCTTTATTTTCTCAGATGGTAGTTTTTACAAGACTATTAGAAGCAAAATCAGTTTTATCTTACGAAGTACTAAGACCACCCAACCGCCCCCAATTTTCTCAGAGGATATGTCATTGGCCGAAATAAGTCTTATCTTACGAAGTACTAAGCCCACCCACCCGCCCTCTATTTCCTCAGAGGATATTTCATTTGCTCAAATAAGTCTTATTTTACTTATCAAGTACTAGCCCCGCCCACCCGCCCGCTATTTTCTCAGAATATATGCCATTTGCTAAAATAAGACTTATGTTACCAAGTACTAGCCCCACCCACCCGCCCTTTATTTTCTTAGACGGTAGTATTTGCTAGTACTTGCTAAGATAAGTCTTATTTTGGCAAATGGTATGTTCTCTGAGAAAATAGGGGTGGGTGGGCGTTACTAGTACTTGCTCAGATAAGACTGATTTTGGCAAATGCCATAGCTTCTGAGAAAATAGAGGGCGGGTGGGCGGGGCTAGTACTTGCTAAGAAAAGAGTGTTTTTGGCAAATAACATATCCTCTGAGAAAATAGAGGACGGGTGGGCGGGGCTACTACTTGCCAAGGTAAAACTTATTTTGGCAAATAACATAATCCTCTGAAAAAATAGAGGGCGAGTGGGCGGGGCTAACTGATTTTGCCCCTATTAAACCTGTCAAGACTCGTTAAATTTAAAAGGTGTTAAATTGTAAATTTCCATAGTAACGAGTTAAATTCCTAAATCTGATTGGATGTTTATTTTTTAACAACTCAGTCATTAATTTCTGGGAGACACTTTGCAAATTTATAAAAATAATAAGGCAGGGATAAATCCCAAGTATAGGCTCATCATATTTTGAACATTTAAGATTTATTCAACGCTATTTTGAGGTGACGTCAACAATTTTTTTAGGGGGATGAGTAAATACATTTTGATCAAAAATTTACCATGCTTATGACAACTTTAAGACATCTCCAAAATTTCACAGCATTCGGTTTCGCAGTTCCTGATTAAATCAATAAAATAAATTCACGAATTTATGTTTTTGAGTCACCCTCTATAAGCAAATACAAAAAATATGAACGCAATGATAAATCACAAGTACAGACTCATCATATTTTGGACATTTTAGATAGGATTTATTCGGCAAAATTTGAGCGGACGTCATCATTTTTTTGGAGGGGATAAGCAAATATATTTTAATTAAAAATTTATCATTAAATTGTAAAATGTTGTTTTATAATTTTGATTTTTTTTGCAAAAATCTGGACGTTTCGGGCAAACAAACTAAACACGGCGTCATAACCTACATGTGTAGGAAGTGACGTCATCACATTATTGGTGGGGATGATTAGACAAATTTTGATTAGCGTTTTACCATCTAGATTATATTCCTAATATAAATACAAAATTTGACAACAATTACCTGTCTAATAAAAATCCGGAACGGCAGACAGACAGACAGACGAACAGACGGACAGACGGACAGACAGACAGACAGAAATAGGAGAGCTATTTCTTCGTACTGTAGGGGTCATGAAAGGTCGAGAAAACGTAACAGAGAGTCGGTCGACGGACTCGATTACAATAGTTCCTTCGCTTACGCTCGAGAAATAAAAAGTAAAAAAAGTTGTAACACTAAACATTTCGTAAAGTTACAAATATTCAAGTATCCGGTTTTTGTCTGGTAGTGTATTTAAAATTTGATAAAAATCGTTTCGGTAATTTCGGAGATTTTCTGTCTAATAAAATCGACACAGGCAAACGATAAACGATAGACGAACAGACAAACAGA